ACGTCACAGTGGGCAGTTACACACTCTTTAACACACACCTCTCTGATTTCACCTGAACTCACACTTTAATAAATTCACCTGCTGATCTTTATTCACACACAAGATACACGGCTTGTAATTCCTTCCGCAATGAGAAATGAAGTGCTGGAAAAACTACACGATGGAAATCAAGGTGTTGTAAAATGTAAAGCTCGTGTACGCCAAACAGTGTGGTGGCCCGGGCTGAGTCAACAAAACTCTGAGATGGTGATGCAGAACATGCATTCAAGAAAGACACAATCACAGTGAGCCACTCATGCCAACAGGATACCCTGCCCGCCCATGGCAGAGTGGGGGAAAACGTACCTTCTGGCTGTTGACTAGCACTCTAGATTTGTTGAGATTGCTTTGTTAAACAAAATCAAACGATGTCATTACTCACCTGAAATCTTTCTTCGCCCGTCATGGCATCCCAGAGGTCTTCATGTCTGGTAATAGGCGACAGTATTCAGGTCAAACCTTTGCAGACTTCACAGCAGCTTACGGCTTTAAGCACATCACAAGCAGTCCTAAGTTTCCGCAAAGTAATGGAGAAGCAGAAGGTGCTGTACAGACTGAAAAAAAGCAGCTGATCCATATCGAGCTCTTCTTGCCTATAAAGCTACACCACTGCACCACGTCTGCGAACCACACTGCCGAGACTTCCATCGCAGCTGGAGCCGACACTGCCGGACGGCGCACTGCTTGCTCCAAAGGAAAGGGAGAAAAGAAATATTCTGTTTTTGTTTAAAAGGGGAGATGTGGTATATTCATAATTGTCCCTGGTTGTGGCATCGCAAGAAATTAGTTGTTTTTATAAATATATGGGTATGCATAATAGTTATTATTCATCCCAAGTTCCTGTTATTCATCTGAAAGAAGCAGATAGAATGAGTGTCGTTACCATGGTAATGCCAGGAGAGGCAGTATTGGTTCTGTGTTACATTAATGTTGTAAGAAAGAGGAAGAAGAGAGGGTCCTGTAGGACACAATAAAATGGACACTGATGTTCAGTAAACAAGTCGCAACGATACTCCGGTGTAAGGCTCAGTTATCTATTTTTGTTTTTGAAGATGCAACATTTGTTGTATGGGCTGTATGTGTTTATTGTTCGATTGTGTAATTACGTGTTGCACACTGGCAATGCATGCAGGCGGAAATAAAGTGAGTAAGGAGTTGGTCTTAGTGCACACAGTTGTCCCCTGTACTTATTCCGATTCAGAGTAAGAATCACACACAAACTATAACATGACAACACTGACTGAAAGCAAAAACATTAACAACATTAAATGGAGTTAACAAGGAACATATCACTGTTTTTAATGGTACAGTCACAGTAAGTGGGCAAAGAACTGCACATCAAAAATGACAGGAAGATACCAATGGAAGCAACAGCTGAAGTCAATATGACATTAAAAGAGATTAAAACACCGATCCTGTGGTAAATATCAGAGAGCAACACTGACCTCTGTATATTCTTTTTACTGTTTAAATTTGAAATGTTTTTGCTTTAGTTCTTCAACCACGTGGCGCGTCCGTGTGGTCATTCTTTACTTCTGCTTGAGCCGAGTGATTCTTCTCACTGGACTCCTATAATGGTCTAATGATCATACTTGAAAGTGCAATAAAAGCCATCATAAAACATTAAGTGCATTCATTTTGACAAGAGTCACTACAAACAAATGGAAATGAGCACAGTATGCACCAGCTACAGTACAGTGCAAGCAAAAAAAACTACTCAGGGCATCAGTTTTTAACAGTTTAGTTTTAATACCTGAAACATTTGCACAGCACTTCATGTTAACAGTAGCTACATAAAAGCTCTATACTGACAGTTTTACACGTTAAATTCTTAAACAGCTTACAGTCTGTATGGGATTGTCTTTTGGATAAACTCTGATAGTCACAACCTCAATATTCAGCAGTATTGAACCCCCCAAACAGAAAGCTCTCTGCTGTAACATAAACAAACACCAGGAAAAGCTTTCTGGAAAAATGGTTTTGAAAAATACTAAACCATGGCTCCATTATGATGACTACAGCAACTACAGTGTGTTATTCGATTCAATTTCTCTTCTGAAGAACTGACCAATGGGTGTAAATGTTGTGGGCATGTTGTGAAGTTAACTCATAGACGAAGATAATATGACAGGCAGAAAAAAAAAACAAAAAAAAACGGCGCCCAACCAATGGGCAATCCAGTCCAATGGATTTCAGCTGATTTATCAACGAATGGTAACTCAATGGAGCAGACTAAACCATAGCAACGTCTGTCTTTCACTGAAAGTCTCGTGAACTCTTTATGGACATCTTTGCAGTTCTTCCAGGAGGAAGAAATGCTAGGATTTTTTTTTAAACTAAGCATTTCAAATTTGCAGCAAAGAGGAAAAATATCTTAAAAATGTTTTCTACAGTAACAATCAAAATATTCACTGACAAACACCAGGGCTGAAAGAAGTATTTGGTTTAATAAATGCCCCAGCAGTATACAAACACTCCACTAGAAGTAAACCTTGCTAGGTTGTGAGCATCATTAATAAAGGTAATTACTCTGTTAAAAATATTCCCTGTGTTCCTGTTATATATTATGCTAATGAACTAAACTAGCCCTAGCATTTATATTCAGTTCATGAAATTACTTAAGCAATTTAGTGCAGTGGACGGGTAAGGCCGAGCTGATTTGAAGTCATTTACAATCTGCTGGGAAATATGTTCACTTGATTATCTGCAGTCATTGAGCTCATGAAAACATCTGCATGGAGATCGTGTAAAAGAAATATCTATGGATTAAAGTTAATATACGGAGACAATTTTATTCAACATTACTGGTTACATTTTTGACATACAGGTTGAAGACTGGTGAAGAATGTTAAATTTAACACACTGTTCTAACATCTGGACCTCTCTGTGAAGGACTGAAGAGCTAAAGAAATGCCGTCTTCACTGGACCTTAATTTCTTGTCATCTCACATTTTGATAACGGTGATTAGGGGACAAACACACGTTGAGAATAATTTGCTTGTTTATGTGCATGGATAAAATCATACATGTAGCACTTGGAAAGAAAGCAACTGGGCATCTTTATGACACTTTTATTTATCTTTGCATTTGGGATTTTTTAGACACATTTTTTTTCTCGGTTACTTTTTTGGCCTGTGTGGTCTTGTGTGGCATTTTCTCTCATAGTAACATTGTTCAGGGATTTTGTGTTTCCAGATGCCATTAAATGCCATCACACATGCATTATACACAGTGATATGTCTGTATGCTTTGAAGCCATGACAGTGCCCGTCATGCACACGTACAGCTTGGCTCCCTGTGCGTTTCTTGCTACATCCTGCAGAGTTGGGGTTGGACGCTGGGGTTGGTACACTCTTTGTCCCTTGAGTCACTGTGATGGGGGGAGAAGAAAATGGGGAAGAAGTCGAGACAGAGGAGGAGGGTGAGGAGTAATATTAGCCGAGGTGGAGGTGAAGATGAGGCGATGCCGACACTTGCCATTGCTGCGAAGCCCACGGTGGGCTGGACTCATGTTAAGGTGGTGTGCTGACAAGGCGTGGCTAGAAGAAGGGAGGAGACGACTCAGATTCAGAGATGGGATAAAAGTTTTGTGAGGACAAGGAAATGGAAGGAAATGAAGAGGACGGAGAGGGGGATCAAGGTGAAGAGCCTGATGGACAAACTGAAGGAGTTTTTCAGCAAAGAGTTCAGGAACGACAGGTAGGCACATCTGAAGGAGGCAGAGAAGGCTGAAGGTGAAGAAGCAGTGGAGGAGCAGGAAGAGGACAGGTTTGGAGGTCATCAGTGGCATCTGGGCAGTGAGAAGTGGACAGATGGGTGATTCCTCGAGCTAGGCTTTAATCAGAGAAGCACGCAAAGCAACAACACAATGCTTTACTGCTTCTGCTGACAGCCTGCAAACACACACCGCGGGTTACAACAAATCAGTGGCAGTGACATGCACACGACAGGAGAACATCACTTGATATATTTAAAAGTAGAATGGGAGGCAGAGCCTTCAGTTTTCAGGTCCATCTTTTATGGAACCAGCTTCCAGTTTGGATTCAGGAGACAGACACTATCTCTACTTTTAAGACTAGGCTCCTTTTTGACAAAGCTGGATCAGTTATGCTGCAGTAGACCGGTTGCTGAGGGCTTCTAATGATTCACTGAGCGTTTCTCCCTTTCTCACCCCTTTTCACTCACCATGTGTTTATAAATCACTCTGTTTTGGAGTTTGTAAGTGCTTTGTCTCTTTGTCTCTAGGGGCCACCGTAGATTTATGCAGTTAAACTAATTTCTAGAATAGAAACCAATGAGCAGTTTATTTGAAAGACCTGTGTTTTTTCTCTTTTGAATATTTATTATTTCTCATTAAGTACATACAAAAGTATTTCCTATCGGATTAATCAATGGAATGATCAATAGATTATTTGATTACTAAAATAATAAATAGCTGCAGCCCTTTTTCAATGCATCACTAAACAAGAACGGTAAAACATCCATGCAGTGCTTAAAGGATGGGAAACCTCTTCATGCCATAAACATGAAGTGAATCAGTGGCAGATGTTTCCACAGAATTATTCATTTCTGTAAATGATGAATCCTGATGTGTTTGCGTCTAAAGAAATGGAGTTCTGAACTCAGAAAAACTCACTGCCAGATGAAAGATAGTTGTACAGGTTACATGCAGGTCAAGATTCACTCACTGATGTAGAAACTTCAGTGTCAAATTTGTCTAGTTTCAAGACATTACATGTTTAATTTCGATATAGGAGATGTCACTAAAGCTCTAATGTATACAGGGAGTGTATCTTGACAGAACAGGGTACATCTAGAAACTTTAGGACGACGCACATCTGAAAAAAAGAAGAACAGGACAAAAATCCACTGCAGAACACACACAAGTGCAATCAAAACATCAAACTCAATTTAAGGTCATTTCCTCGTCCATTATTACACAGCACCCAGCTATCCTGCTCCATTTGGACCACTTTGTGGACTCTCTCTCTACACACACAGTAGGTAGGTAGATGTGGTTGAAACAGCACCAGAGTCATGCAGTGCTTACATTTCTATCATGTAGAGCATGGTTTCTGCTTTTCTAATAGCACAGTTATATTGACTCTTGTCCCATATAGTTACAAGTATAGGTTTATTGACTTGAGTTGGAGACAACTGAATTGAATTGAAGCTTCAGTATATTCATTATAAAACTATCATTTATGTTTTTGCACTGTGAGGTGCAACTGTAGAAGAATATAATGATGGTTGACACAAAAACCAACAACAAAAACACCAAACAAGAATACAAATCCTTGAAACATTAGATGAACTCCTCTTTAGTCTACGATGACTCAGAGCTGTTAACCTCAGGTGTCCTCAAACTTCATTTACCTGGCTGGCCTGTTTCTGGGTGAACTGCTGCTGGCCCTTAGGAGTCTTTTCTGGTGATCCAGAGGCACGGTGAGATTTGGCATGAGATCGCAGAGCAGAAGAGCTGGAGGTGCTGCTGGAGGTCTGCCATTTACAAAAGTAAACAAAAGGTTAGTATGAGACAGTGGTGGATAAACTACATTTATATAGCCCTTTTACTAGTCAAAGCTAAAAACTATACTGTGTGTTGCTGAAAAACATGTAGGAGATACAGAATGTTTTTACAAGATTCAATTAGAAGCAGTCAAGAGCTTTAGATTAAAGCATAAATCAAGATTACAGATGACATCGGACATTTAATGACACTGTAGAAAAAATAAAAATGCATGAAAATCAATGCTGCTGCCAATCACTGACCCATCTCAGGGGAGCTGCCATTTTTTCTTTCTTTTTGGTTTTTACGATAAAAAAAACAAGCATTGAAGCTGTGTATTCATACTGGCCTTTAAAGTAAAAAGAATTATAACTAGTTTTTGGTATCTACTGAAGTAGTTTTAAAAGACTGAGTCATTTAAAGTGGAAAAAATCTTGACTTCTTCTTCTTCTTCTTCTTCTTCTAAAGCAGTAGAAGAGTCGGGATTTTTAAGGATCACCCTCTCACATAGTACTGATTTCCTTTTCAAACAGCAGCAACAGCAGCAAAGAATTTCCCTGAAAGGCACACACGAAGAAGAAAAAGGCAAACAGCAATGCAGAACCCACACTTGTGTTCAGAAAATCTAGGTTATGGTAGGAAAACAACTTTCCATCGGAGATGTGATTAAATGCATCAGTTTTCTTGTTAATTTTGGGTAGTTTGAAGATTTGTCTGTGAGAGGAATTCAAAGCTGGTGAAAGACAAATTCAAAGAACACAGAGGTAGATGGTAACGCTGCCCACCACCATCCCAGCAATCTGCAGTGAAACAGCTGGGCAGAGGAATATCAGACCTGTTTCTTGATGCCGTTTCTTTCGCTGGCGCGTGCAGTCTGGGGTTTGGCTCTCTTACTCTCAGGTGGATTTGGACCCTTAGTGATCTGAGTCGCTGACCTTTTGGACGGACTTCTCTCTCGTTCTTGTTTGACTTTTCTTTTAAGCTGAGCTTTGTCAGCTGAGTCACATAAAGAAGCAGGGGCAGTTATACTCTCCACGCTGATTTCCAACTGTTTAATCGACTTCTCGAGACTGTCTATAGAGTCGAACGCATTTTTGCAGAGCTCCTCTACCCGGTTATGTGACTCTGAATGTCTGGTATTAATATAAGAGGAGATATTGTCTCTGTCGCAGGCATTGCTTTCGTCCAACTTCATTTGTTCCATTTTATTAATTTTAAACATCTGCGATTTATTTGTCTGGCTCTTGGTCTCCTTGACTGTTGTGCCACATGCTGCTACTTCCTCCTCATCAACAACAACTTCTTCCCTGTTTTGTTTGCCCCTGTTTCCTGTTTTGATAGCCTGGCTAAATGCTGTCAGTCTTTTTTTAGGGAACTTGAATTTGAATTTCCTTTTTGTCTCAGTTTTTTTAAGTGAAGGTGATTCAGTCTGGCCCTGGTTTTCAAGAGCGGAGCTTTTATCTGTTGAAGGTCCTTCAGGCTGTATTTGTGGAGGATTCTGACCATCTCCTGTCGTGAGCGATCCCATATTAATATTCGCGATACCACTTTTTCTAATACCCTGTTCCTCTTCCTCCTGGTTTGTCTTTTCCTCATCTGAAATGCTCTCTGGAGAAAAAATCCCACCAGTATCTTCCTCACTTTCAAAGATTGTAGACAGCCGCTTGTAGGCCAACTGAAAGTCCACGGGCTGGTTCAAGAAAACAATAATAGGTTTTCTGTCAAACTGATCATTACCGTCCTCAAAACCGTGGTTCTCATGTCCTACATAGGTGGGCTCACCAGCGGTGTCCCCAGATACTGTTTGTATTTGAGAGCCATTCATTTTGGCTGAGGTTTCCTCTTTGGACTGTGGTCTGACTCTGGTCTTGGAGATTATACGGCTATATTTACAAATCTGAGGCGGTGGAGGGGGCGGTCCCTCACCAGCCTCATCACAGCTCAGGCTACCTCCGTCTTCTGTGTATTGCAGCTGGTTACCAGATACTAGCACTGTTTGTTCCCGGTTCCCCTGCTTGCTACTACAATCTAAGATGGGTGACGATGGGGAAGGTTTTGTAACGGAGGTTGAAGTTACACACTCCTGGTCAGGCCTCAGTGACACATTCTGCTGGACTGGTGGACCTGATGTCCTCTCGTTTTCACTGGATTCTAAAGTTAGAACCACCATCACATTGGACTTCTTCTCTGACGCTTCTTTGGCGGTTTCATTCATGTCTTTGGGACTTTTGGCACATCCTTGAATGTTTTCTTTCTGTAGAGTAACAACTGTTGTAACCTTGACCTTCTTTTCTTTTGTGGCTGGCGACGATACCTGTCCAACAAACTCTTTCACTTGATTAGGAGTTCTGACATTTTCTTTCTGTGAAACTCTTCCTACTCTAAGTTCATCTAGTTTTATATCTTTGTCCTGACTTGATGTTGGCTCCTCCTCATCAGTCTGGAAACGTTTAACATCTTTTAAAGTTCCCAGTGGAAATATCTCCACATCCTTTACTGTTGGACAAGAAGGCACTTGTTCAATTACCGTCTCCACTTTGTTCTCAGTGAGACTGTTTTCCCCACCTTCTCTGTTTGCTTTTAGTCCAGCTGCTGCTATGACAGGGTAGTCATTTGTAAAGCACAGCTGAGGGTCTGACTGTTGGTCACATGTTGCTAACTCATTAGCTACTTGTGAGTTTAGAGACGTCCTCTCCTTTTTTGCATTTTGTTTATTTCCAACTGATGAGTGATTCTTATTTGTCAGTTCTGTCACCTATGAACAGAAAAGGTAAAATGAAACAACAACAGAAACTACATATTTCGCCTTTTCTGCACAATGATTACTTTAAATTTACATCCATGTTTTCTCAGTACAATCATTCATTATATTACTTTAAATGTAATACAGCAATGATCAGAGCCGATATATGACAATGATGATTTTTTGAATAGCTCTTGAGACAGAATAAATGACTTTTTTTCCTTAGAGAAGGCTTTGGCACACTAATCCTCTATTGCGATGCATGGTGCTGCCACCACCATATTTAACCCATAAACTGATATGAAAAAACCCACAACTCTGTGCTTAGCAATAAATGGTTTAAGGGTGAAAGAAAGTTTGATCCCAGTTTAAAAGGAAATTAATTATTTGAAGAGTCAAAGAACGCGAACAGCTACAGTTTATTTTTCCAAAAAGGTAGGTACAGAGCACGAACAGCACGGGCAGGTGCACCTGCTGACAGCATGTTTATGAAGAAAGGAAGCTTCTCATATGGGCTAAGAAAAACTAAAACTTCATTTTACTCCTAATTCCTCACTGTAATCTTTTTTTTCTTCTTGTTTTTGTAATAGGAAATTAAAAAAATCAAAGTGACAGGAATATAATGCAAACAGTTCATTTCAGCCACGATTTGAACAGAATTACATGAGAATGTAACAAACTTCCAGATGAGTTAAACCAGAGCTAACAAAAAACACATAAAGGCCAACCTCTATATTGCAACAATATTTCACACTGCACATAATGACAAATGGTAAAGTAAATGGACTGGTTCTTATAAAGAGCTTTTACTCTACCTGAGCACTGAAAACACAACATGCCTCATTGACCCATTCATACAAGCACGTTTTTAGGCTTAAGTGCTTTCAAGCTAACATTCACACTTGGAGGGATGCATCAGAGGAGTCAGGGACTGAACCACTGAATAGTAAATGATCTGCTCTACCTTCTGAGCTACAGCCACCCCATATGTTTACACAGTGTCCATCTCTAACTACAAAAATCAGTATCTTACAGCAAATACAGCAGAACACTGTCCAGTGATGCTCACTGGAAATTTATTTTTCTGAAACAGGTTTAATGTTTGTTTGTCATGACAAATTCATCATTAACAGGAAAACAAGTAAAGTTCAGCTTTTGTCAGTTAAAAGCAGAGAAAATCCTGAAATTATTAGTCAAAGCAGAAGCATGTTTAGTCCACTTAGGGCAGGCTAAACTAAAACACAAACCTGGATTTTTAACTGTTAGATTTCGCTTTCCACAGGCTCATCTCAGTATTAGCAACCTGGTGTTTTCTTCAGATTAAAAAATTTATCTTAAAAATAACTATTTATTTAGTATACCTGCAGTTCTTTCAAGACTTTCTCCTCTTCCTCCTCCTCTTGTCTTTGTGCTGACACTGCAGTAGGGGCAGAGGTGGATATAGCCAGATGTGCAGCAGTGCACATCTGGGATTTGTGTTTGACCTCTGGTGGCTGTTGTGGAGGTTTGAGCTGAGGAACTAGAGGTAGCTCTTTTCCTTTATCATCTTCATCCTGTGCAGACTGCTTGTGAAACACAGAACAGAATGAATTTAGGTGTCTTCTGTCACTGAGAAAGCTCATTGTCTAAAACCCCTGGAGTCACTTCATCTTTTTTAAACAAGAATGAGCTGTTGGCTGTTGTGAAAGGATGTGTAACATTAATTAAACTACAATTTGAAGTCATAGGTTTAACATTTTGTCACCCTGACCAGTTCGCCAAAGGGCTAACACAGACACTAGTAATAAACTACTACTAATAAAAAAACATACAACTGTCGCTCTAACTTCAGGGTTTGTTGTACTAAAATTAATCTGTGGTTTGATTTATTTACTCAGTTACTCTTTTGAACATAGTGCAGTGTTTCAATGTTAAGTGTGAAGAACTAAAAAGAAAGTGCTTATTTGTTGCTTAGATTGTCTGTTTGGGAGACAGACTGTTGGAGTCAAATTGTTAAATGTTGTCAGTGTGTTACTTAAATTTGTAAGTCTTGGTTCAAACTGTATGATCAAAGACCTTCCTTTGTTTCTGACCACCTCCCCAGCCAGTCTGTTGGTGGGGGAGGCTGCAGTGTTTTATTATAGGACATCCTATGTGAAGATTTTTTCTTGTTTAGTAACTTCCTGCTTTATGACCCTTTTGTGGGCAGGAGGTCACACAAACGCACCCCCAAACACAACACACACACATCTCGCACACACACACACACACACCACACACAACACACACACACACACACACACACAAACACACATACACACACACGTGCTTACACGTGCACACACATCAGTCTTATCTTTAGAACCATAGGGGGGGTTTACAATGGGTGGTGCTTGTGTGTACTGTAACTGTTTTCAGTTAAAGGCAGCAAGGAAGGCTGTTTATTTGATGCTGGCTAGGAGGCGGGTGAGGAGCGTTCAGCTCCAAGAGCCTGGTTCCGACCAGCCTCCCTTGCTAGCAAGTAAAACCGGTTAAAGCTGTTCATCTTGCTTCCTTGCTTCGTTAACGGGAATAAGTTTCTAAACCAGCGGGGCCTGTGGAAGCGCAGACCCAAGACAGACACCCTCTCTGCTTTTAAGACTAGGCTTAAGGCTTTCCTTTTTTACAAAGCTTATAGTTCAGGCTGGATCAGGTGACCCTGAATCCTCCCTTAGTTATGCTACAATAGACTTAGGCTGCTGTGGGCTTTCCATGATGCACTGAGCATTTCTCCTTCTCTCACTCACACTCCATTTAATTATGAGTTATTATTAATCTCTGGCTCTCTTCCAGGGCACGTTTTATGACTTGTCTCCTTTCTCTCACCCCAACCAGTTGCGGCAGCTAGTTGCCCTTCCCTGAGCCTGGTTTCTTCCTGTTAAACTGGAGTTTTTCCTTCCTTGTTGGGGTTACATGTGTTTTCTTTGTGTTACCTTAGTCTTTACCTCACATTATAAACCACCCTGAGGCAACTGAATTGAATCGAACTCTTTTTTTATAAGGAATTTTGACTATTCTTTCAGAATTGCAGGTCAGACACTGATGTTGGATAAGAAGTCTCCACTCTAATTCAACCCAAAGGTGTTCTATCGGGTTGAGGTCAGGATTCTGTGAGGTCACACATCAAACTTCTGCAGCCATGGCTTAATGGATGTTCCTTTGTGCACTGGTGTGCAGTCATGTTTGAACGGGAAGATGTTCCCACAAGTTTGGAGGATGAAAATGTCTTGGTATGCTGAAGCATTAAGACTTCCTGTTACGCGAACTAAGGGATTTAGCCCAGCACCTGAAAAACAACCCTTCACCAAACTTTACACTGTTCTCCTGGAAACCACCAAACCCAGGCTCCTCCATCAGATTGCCAGATGGAGAAGCATGATTTGTCACTCCAGAGAACACGTCTGCTCAAGAGTACAGTGGTGGCGGGGGTTGACGTAGGAGCAGCGACATGTAAAGACGCGTGGCTGAGTTGCTCTGTGGGGATATGCTATTTTTTCATATAAATACTGTGACATTGGGCACTAACGCGTTATCGGTCATCAGCTGAGTTACCACTGCAAATGTGCGCATCGCCCAAGGGAACTTTACAACAATGTCAGGGTCCAAAAACACCAGAAGGAGTGATGGAGCCAAGGCAATTGATAGCAATGCTACATGCCCGGACACGGCCGCGCTAATGGCTGCCATAGCTAACTCGGAGAAGAATGTAGTCGCCAAAATTTCTACGCTGGAAGCAAAAGTCGAGACCAAGTGCCAAGCTCTCAATGAGCTGATCGATTCGCTTTGCAGCAATGTTTCTGACCAAATAGATGAAGTGCGGACTGAACTTTTTGCTAAGATTGATGCTCTAGCAACTACCTGCACTGACCACCATAGCCGGCTAACTAGCCTGGAAGAAGATGCAAACACGTATTCGGACCGGGCTGTGGACTTGGAGAAGCAAGTTCACGATCTGAAAGAAATTGAGTCAGCTCTTTCGGACAACACCGAAGACCTTGAGGGGAGACAGCGCAGGTGCAACATTCGAATATTTGGCGTGAGAGAGCACTTTGAGACTGGGACGCACCCTGTCAACTCTGTGGCCCAGCTACTAAAGGAGGTTTTGGCCCTGGATACCGCTCCGACACTGGATCGGGCACATCGCAGCCTCCAGCCCATCCCTGCGAGAGACCAGAGACCCAGGCCACTTATTGTCAAATTTCATTACGTTCAAGAAAAGGAGGAGGTAAACAGTCCCCTGACGCATGATGGAGTCAAAATCCTAATTTTCCCGGACCTGCCATCTGCAGTCGCGAAGAGACGGGGGGCCTTTAAAGAAGTTAAAGATCTACTGCGCGGATGTCGGGGTGTGAGATTCCGGATGCTATACCCAGCGAAGCTGAGGATTTCTTCTCCTCTTGGTGAGGAAATATTCACCAATCCAACGGCTGCTAAAGACTACGTCAAGAATCGCATCTTGGCTGTGTGTGGGAATCAAGACACGGGCTGAGTGGACTGTGCGACCTCAGTTGCTTTTTGACTCTCTATTGTTCACTGACTCAGACTGCACTTTAGAGAGGTTTGAACTTTTGCTTCTTTCATAATTTAATAGGTCTGCAAATAATTGTTTATCACCGAGTGAAGTAATCGACCAAGAGAAGTCACGTGTGCCTTTCCAATCTGCCAGATGTCTAACAACTGGGTCATAGTTGGTGTTCCCTGCTAGGGGCAACTTTTGTATTTGGGGAGTGAAGAGACATGTTGGATATAAGCTCTTTTTGTTTTTGTCTGTCCCGTTTGGATCTTTTGCCATCAGAATTAATGTCTAAAAGCAAAGAAAGATGCCCAACTGCTTTACTGTACCAAATGGACCATCCCAGCCTTCCGTATTGGTCTATTTTATTCACCTTTGCTTTTATTGTTTATTTCATTTTCATTTGCTGAGCACGGGACAGACTTGACTGGGGAGAAGAAAAGGGAGAAAGAAGGAGGGAAAGAAAAAGAGCGGGGGATATAAGCTCTTTTGGGGGGCAGGGCGTAGTTTGCTCCCAATTTATGGGAGTTACGTTTATAGTTACTCTGGGTTTTTACTTTTGCTCTTTTGTTTTTTTAATTTTTTAAATTTCTTTTTTCTTGTTGGCTGCAGTTTTGTGCGTATACTTACCCCAAATTATTGTTCGGCTTGCCTGTCATGATTGTCTTGAAAGTGTGAATATGGCCAACTATGTAACCAAAAGTGCTGCAACTACACCTGATTCTACTAAATTTATTACATGGAATGTGAAAGGCCTAAATAATTTTAGAAAATGCAAAAGGATATTCACTCATGTGTCAACTTTCAAACCGGACATTGTCTTTCTACAGGAGACACATCTGTGTTCCACGCAAAGCAAGAGGCTGACACAAAGTTGGGTTTCCCAGGTCTACCATTCTGGATTTAAATCGCGGGGGTTGCCATTCTTGTTAGGAAAAATTTTCCCTTCATCACCTCAAATGTAAAATGTGATGTGAATGGTCGCTTTCTGATAGTTACTTGTAAGCTCCACAACACTCCAGTTATCTTGGTAAATACTTATGCACCAACTTGGGACAATCCACAATTTCTTATAAGACTAATTGGCCTGCTGCCAGACTTCAATACGCATCACCTGATTATGGGCGGGGATCTGAATCTGGTATTCGATCCCGACCTTGACAGGTCTAAGCCGCGTCAGTCTACTGGGACCTCCAGATCAGTGTCCGTTCTGAACACATTTCTTCAAAACTATGGCATTTCAGATCCACTGCGTATCACTGAGCCCTTAGCAAAATACGATTCCTTCTTCTCCCCCGTGCATCATTCGTATTCCAGGATTGATTATTTCCTTCTGGATATTTTATTATTATCCCAAGGGTCACCATGTGTAAATATCATGTAATTGTAATTTCTGATCATGCACCAGTGCAGGTTGATATCGCATTTCCAAACGTGTGCGCAAGGCAGCGGTTCTGGAAATTTGACTCAGCATTAATGTCAGATGAGGAGTTTTGCAACTTCATTGAACACCACATCGAGCTTTTTCTGGAAACAAATAACACTCCAGATGTTTCAAAATCTATAATTTGGGAGTCGCTAAAAGCATATCTGCGGGGCCAAATTATTTCTTTTTCGTCTTATAAGAATAAAAAGCAAAACAAACGGCTCTGAGAGCTGACAGAGCTCATAGCTAACATTGACACACAATATGCTACCTGTCCAACCGCTGATTTATATAAGCAGAAGGTACTGCTGCAGTCTGAATTTGACACCCTCTCAATTAAAGAAACTGAGAAGCTCCTACTTAGATCAAGACATCATGAATACGAGCATGGTGAAAAAGCAGGTAGATATCTTTCGCATCAGCTTCGTCAATCCGCCGCAGCTCAGTCTATACCCGACATACAGTTAGACTCCGGTCAGGTGGTAACACACCCTGACGGAATTAATGCTGCTTTCAAGTTATTTTATCAGGATCTCTATACTTCCTGCACTGATTATTCAGAGGCTGACTTGGATTCCTTTTTGAGGAACATAGATACTCCCACTATTAACCCAGACCAACGTGAGCTACTAGAAAGACCTATTACCTCTGCGGAAATATTGCAGGCAGTTAATTCCTTGTAAAATGGCAAGGCACCGGGCCCAGACGGCTTCTCGTGTGATTTCTATAAATGCTTTGCTGGCAAGTTAGTTTCTTTACTGTCTGAGGTTTTTTCAGAAATTCAGGCAACAAGCACGTTGCCTCAAACTCTGTCCCAAGCCAATGTCTCTGTAATACTCAAAAAAGACAAGGACCCTCAAAAATGTGGATCCTATCGCCCCATTAGTCTACTGAATGTGGATTATAAGATCCTCACAAAAGCTCTTGCACTTCGTATTGAGAAGGTAGTACCTTCTATTATACATGAGGACCAAACAGGCTTTATAGTGAACCACCAGTCATATTTCAATATCAGATGGCTGTTAAATATCCTATATTCTGACCATTCAGTTGATCACCCCGAGATAATAGTCTCACTGGATGCCGAGAAGGCTTTTGACTGCGTGGATTGGCAATATCTGTTCTCCGTTTTGAAAAAAATAATGCTTCGGTTCTAATTTTATTTCATGGATCAGGACTCTGTACTCAGCGCCCCTGTCTTCAGTCTGCACCAATAAGACTATTTCAGAATACTTTTCCGTACATAGAGGCACCCGACAGGGATGCCCCTTAAGCCCCCTGCTATTCAATCTGGCAATAGAGCCGCTGGCAGCAGCATTGAGAACGGACCCCAGAATAAGGGGGATCACTATTCATAAGTGCCCCTTGTATGCAGACGATCTCCTTCTGTATATTACAGATCCGGAGGCATCAATTCCTTCAGTTCTGGACCTCATTGGATCCTTTGGCCGCCTGTCTGGTTACAGTTTGAACCTGGCTAAAAGCACACTGTTCCCTATTAACAGTCTGGCAAAGGAGGCTGACTACTCAGCCTTTCAGTTTAGACTGGAACACTCCTCATTCACCTATTTGGGTATTCAAATCACAGACACTTATCAGGATCTTTTTAAATAAAATTTTACCCCTTTATTAGAGAAAACAAAATCGGATTTGGCACGCTGGTCAGCATTACCCATCTCTCTTGCTGGGCGGGTCAACACAATTAAAATGGTAGTCTTGCCTCGATTCATGTACCTCTTCCAGATGATACCCCTTTTTCTTCCTAAAACCTTTTTCACCCAGTTAGACGGACTCATATCATCTTTTATTTGGGACAAAAAAGTTCCAAGAAAATCCCTGTTACAGTGTTCTAAGTCGGAAGGCGGCCTAGCCCTACCAAACTTTATGTATTATTGTTGGGCTGCCAATATTGTGAAACTATCCACCTGGATGCGGGCTTTTAGGGAGGGCAGAGGGCCGCCTTGGTCCACTATGGAGCTAGACGGTAATCTCACCATATCCCCTGTTGCAATACTGTGTTCAGGTCTACCAGTCAGTCGCAATGTTAATTTTAAAAATCCTGTGGTTAAGAACTCTCTCAATGTCTGGTTTCAGGGTCGACGACATTTCGGGCTGAGGCGGTCACTTGTCTGCTCCCCTATTGCATCAAATCATCTTTTTTTACCAGCTCAGAGCGATGCAGGGTTCAAGGTTTGGTACAGCAGAGGAATTATCTGCTTCTCTGATCTGTTTGTTAAAGGGTCATTTTTATCCTTTGAAACATTATCTAAAGACTTTGGAGTGCTTTACCTTGTAAAGCACTTTGTGACATATGTCTGTGAAAGGTGCTATATAAATAAACTTTACTTACTTACTTACTAATTCCAAAGACTCACTTCTTTAGATACTTACAAGTGCGTAGCTTTGTAGTTAAACACTTCACTTCTTATCCAAGTCTACCTAATGACTGTCCACTTGAGGATTGTCTGCAATTTCGATCTATTGCTAGAGGCCACATCTCTAAAATATATAGCACACTGCAGCATATAAAGGCAGACTGTGTCCACAGCCAGAAATGCCTGGGAGCTGGACTTAAACCTCCAGATCCCAGACGACCTATGGGACCTTAGTGTGAGCAGGATGCATGAATCCTCAATCTGTAAACGGCATTGTATAATACAGTTTAAAATTCTTCACCGGGCGTACCTAACCAAAGCTAAACTAGCCAAAATATACAATACCTCTGATGATAGATGTCCGAGGTGCAAGCAATCACCCGCCACTATGAGCCATATGTTCTGGACCTGCTCTGATTTGAACCGGTTCTGGGAATTCGTTTGTAAGGTTATTTTGTATGTGTGTGGGAAAACAATTGATCCTAATCCGATGACAGCAGTCTTTGGTGTACTGCCAAACCAACACGGGATAACTTCTTATCAACTGAATGCAGTGGCTTTCTCATCTCTCCTGGCACGCAGGCTAATTCTTCTTAAATGGAAGGATTCAGGTCCGCCAGTGTTTGTTCAGTGGGTGAGAGAGGTGATGAGGTGCTTGCAGATAGAGCATCTGAGATACAGTTTGAGAGGGTCTCAAAGTAAATACTACAAAACCTGGTCATCCTTTGTTGAATATGTGGAGAAGTTGTCATTTACTGAAGTATTACTGCCTTTATCTGTGTTTGTTTTGTTCTTTGGTGGGTTTTGTGGTTTGTTTGTTTTTTTGGGGGGGGTGTTGTTGTTGTTGTTGGTTTTTTTGCCTTGTTCACATGGTAGTTTTTATTTGTTTGTGCCCATAGATTATACATTTTCCTGCATCCAACTGGTTTGCACTGCGTGGTGCAACTGGTTTCACAATGGCTGTGTTTGTAATCACAATTTGAGTTGTATTTTTCTGGACTTTTGTCATATTGGAAAATCATAAATAAAGTTGTCAAAAAAAAAAAAGAGTACTGCATCCAACACTTTACATTGTACTTGTGATATAAAGCTTCAGAAATGTTCGTAGTGCTTTTGCACAAGTCTGCTTGGTGCTTGATTCTAAATACCTGTGGCCACGGAAGTGATTGGAACACCTGAATTTAATGTGGATGAGTGAATCCCTCCAACAAAATAGTGTTCAGGTTGTTTTCATTCTTTTCTCCTAGCTTGTTCTTTATTGTGACTCTTCTTTATATAATGTAAAACATTTCAAAAACAAAAGATAGTATTTTAAGAAAGTGTTTTTATGGGAAAATGTATAATGTACTTCCACTTGGCAATAGTTAGCGTGTAAAGTTATTCATGTCAGGAGGGTGACGGGCCAGACTGGAAGTGTCCATGGTACACCTGTCTTAGCTGAAGGGACAACAAACCTGGGCTCCAACAGGCTCTTTCCTAGTTACAAAGACCACCTCTCCTGACCTTCCTGTTGTGAGACCTGAAGTGACAGCATGAATTCTGAGAAGACAATAAAACAAATACAAATATTAGGTGAATTGTGATTTTAACCAGTAGAAAGTCCTTCCTGATGCTCAGTGATCAACTGACCTCCGTGGAGGAGGAGGAGGAGGGCTCTTGCCTGCCCTGTCTGGACTGCGCTTCATCTCCTTGTCTAAGCTGGAGCGGCGTGGTTTTTCCACCTGTGGCCGGCTGCTGCACTTGGCACCAGGAGAAGCTGATGAGGTAGCTGAAAGACCAACCGATGACTGAAGGTCCACAGCGGCTGCAGGAAGCTGTGACACTGCTGCTGGAGCTAAACACATCACAATGCTGTCATTTAATAAACTGTCTTTCATATAAATGACAAAAAAATTATGTAGATTAATGTCTGCCTATTTTGAAATGTTTAATCAGCCTGGTTTGATCATGATGCCATTCAAGATGATCTTGAAACTGCTTTGAGAAGCTACTCTGCTCACTTAAAGGAACAATGAATGAAATTAACAACATGTGCACTAGAGGGACAACTGTAAGACAACTCCCAAAACAGGAAAGGTTTTATAGGTGGAAGCCACTGACATTTTTCCTCTCCTCATCTTCTCTGACTGTTGTTTCAGTAGTTTTGCATTTGGCTAGAGTCAGTGTGCCTACTGGTCCCAGAAGGTGATACTTGGACCCTACAGAAGTCACAAAGGTAGTCCAACTCCTCCAGGAGTGTCTTTCAGCAGAGTCTGAAGAGCATGGAGGGGATTCCATGAGACAGGCAGTTACCCTATGAGAGAAGGAGGGGTCCGTCGAAAATCCTTAACCCATCAGCAAGGTCAGCAAGGAATAGCGTGAGTGCAGACAAAGTTACAAAATGACCTCCATCAGGCCACTGGTGTGAATGTCTCTGATCAAACAATCAGAAACAGACCTCATGAAGGTGGCCTGAGGACCCGACATTCGCTACTGTGCTTATTGCCCAGCGCTGTGGAGCCCAACTGACATTTTCAAAAGAATAATAACTGGCAGCTGCACCACAGCTGCTTTTCACAGATGAGCAGGTTCACCCTGAGCACATGTGACAGATGCAAAAGGGTCACAGGTCAAGGTCAAGGTTCTTTAGCAAAGGGAGAAGCAAAGAAGAATGTTATGCTGCCTGTAACATCGCTCAACATGACCAGTTTTTTGGTGGGTCAGTGGCAGTCTGGGGAGGCATATCGTACAGACCTCTACTGGCTAGGCAAGGCAGCCTGACTTTCATCAAGCATCAGGATGAAAACCTTGGACCCATTGTCAGACCATGTGCTGGTGCTGGGGTTTCTGGGTTCCTCATGGTGCCTAACAATGCCCAGCTTCATGTAAGAGTATGGTGGCAGTTCCTGAGTTTGAAGGAATTGATTGACCTGCCTCTGTGCCTGCCTGTCTTAAATCCTGTACAACATCTGTCTTCTCATTTGGAGCACCAATGTTGTCAATCATGTATATTAGCATGTGGGGACCATAATAACTATTGAGTGCCATCTTGAGTTGCTGTAACTACTGTGCCAAATCATTTTTTGACTGTGATTTTCGAGGTGTCTTTGAATTCAGTCCTCTTTATATTGATTATTTTAATTTCCATCAAACACTGCAGCATCCTTTTGTTTCTAACACATTATATATCCATATCAGTATCTTTTTGAGCAGTGTAAATGACCTTGATAAGAATGAAAAGAGCTGTATTAACGTACTACAAGGAGGTGATATCTAAGGTGATATCTTTCTTCAAACTGGACTCATACCTGTGTTTGGGGTTTTTAAATCAGTGGAGTCCCCTTGATCACTTTGTTTGGAAGGTGTGTCTTGCTGGGTGGCAAACACGAGTGCCTGAACCGCCCCTGAGATTTTAGCACAAACACAAAGTATCAGTATTAGCTGGTCACAACCACACTACCACTTTACCATTACTTTAGTGGTAATACTGTGAAAGTTATTATAATTCACAATTAGAGACTGACTATTGAAGCCATAATGTTTCATATTGTTTTGGGCAGCCAGACACGAGTCCCATGGTCAAATACAAAAATATTTGAAGTGAAAAGTTAAGAACTGTTGAATTTAAACACAACAACAAAGGGTTTCATGCATGCCTTAACATATTTATGACACTATACAGTGCTGATTGGCAAAAAACCCCAAAACAGTTTTCTTCAACTTTGAAGGGTTATAATAATAGGCCAGCGGGGGAGCTGGCTCTAGCCCCTCCCTCACAGACACACACTATCTTTGTTGGCTGCTGCCTCTAACCATATTGTGCGTTGTCAGTCTTGTGTGCCGGTCAGTAACATTCAATATTTATTGGTTACTGTTACTGTGTTGTTCTCTTTTTGCTTGTTGTTTGTTTTTCAGCAGGCGATCAAACAGATTTTTAGTGTCGTTTCTCTCTGGCTCTCGTCTCCTGTCTTTTTCTTTCCCTCTCTTTCTGTTGAGTCTCTTTCCAACTTTTCTTTTCTTTGTCTTTCTCTTTCCCGTCTCCCAGTAATGTCCATTCTGATTGTAATAACTTAAAAGTAAAAAAATAAATACATCAATAATATAGAGTGAATAAACTATGATAATCAAGTGGACCAGTATAGCAAAAGCTGTATTCCCACTTGGGAAAATAAATCTGTTGGGCATTTTTTGTGACTACAGACAATAATTCTGATTGTTAGAGTGCTGGACAGGACCGGCGCAACCCCCCCCCCCCCCAAAACAAACAACAAAACAAAAAAACAAACTGCATGAGAAGCATTGAGGGACTCTACCTTGCAGTGTCAGGTTCAGAGGTGTGTTCTGTTCTGATTTCGATGCAAGTCGAGCTGTATGTTGTGAGGCAGAATTGTTCACTCTGAATTCTGATACATCCAAACTAGGGACAGACTCCATTACGCTGGCCTGGACCTCTTGTAGGACCTGGTTAAAGCTGATACTGGTGCTGGGAGGTTGAGTGTGGCTAGAATTGAAGTCGGCTGGCTGTTTCACTCGGCTGGGACTGGACTGACTCATACAGCTGGCTTTTCCACTGAGGCCGCCCCCTTGAGTTTGTTTCTCTGTTGTCTGTGGAGAATAGTGAAAGTTTGTTTCAAACTAGGCACAAAACTGAATGAGAGCTTTTTTAAAATACCACAAGAATGCAGTTTAGACAGACAATCGTGGTCTGAACCAGACTGACAACAATTACTCTAAAACAGATTGGAAACGATTTCTAAATACGACCTAAATATCCCCCAACCCCGGAAAAAAAGCCAGTGCTTGTGATATCATGACAGTAGGGATAACACAGCCCGGGATGAGGCGAGGCGGGTCAGGTGGGTTGGAACTCTGCATTACCCCTGACATGTGTAGAAACCTCTAAAACTTTGAACATGCTGATGGCAACAGATATATGCAATTTTTTCCAGGATATATTTATTGAGCAATTGTCTGTATGACAATGGAATTTACAGCATGAGATAGTTGCTCTGTTTTTGTACATTAACACCACATAGCATAACAAAATATAACAAAACGTAACATAACGTGGTACAATACCCTCCCACACGCCCACAACCCCAGTCCCAGCTGTCCAGCTAGCTTGTCATAATGAGAAGCCAAAAATCAGATTGCTGATTATGCTAAGGCCTGTTTCCAAAGTCTAAATGTATTGTCTAGAATAGACGGTTTAAAAGATGGATTCCCTACAATAGGTGTAATAGGTGATAGAGACTTCAAATCAAAGTGTAGTTTAATCTGCTTAAGAATACGTCATATATAGACTTATCAATGGGCAGGGGACACAGCAGTATAGCTTCTATACAGTAAGGCTGACAAGCTTCCAGCTCCAGTTGCAACCATGTGAGGGGGTTGCCGTTGTCAACTAACCAGTATGTCATGAATTTTATATGCGAAGCCCAGTAATAAAACAGGAGATTCGGAAGCGCTAACCCTCCCTGCTTTTTAGACTTGCAAAGATGTTTCCCAGCAATTCTGTGTGTTTTATTGCCCCAATAAAAAGGTAAGATGAGTGAATTTAGGTTTTTAAAAAATGTTTTAGGAAGGAACACAGGGAGATTGGGAAATAAGTGCAACCACTTAGGCAAAACTATCATCTTTATAGCATTAACTCTGCCAATGAGTGATATAGGAAGCGTATTCCAGAACTGTATACTTGACTGAAGCTCAGATATTAAGGGAGAGAAGTTAGATTTTAATAGAGAGGAATTGCTTTTTGTAACCTGAATACCCAGATAAGTGAGCTTTGCATAAGCTATACTGAATGGGAGGTTTTGCAGCCATGAGGGGTTGCTCACATGTATCGGCATTAGTTCACTTTTATTCAGATTTATCCTGTATCCAAAGACCCAAAGAACTTAATTTTGTCTAATATGGCAGGAATAGTCTTTCCTGGTTGGGTGATATATAAAAATATATAATGACACATCATCTGCATAGAGTGAGATTTTATTAGTAGTTGTATCAGTATTACAACCAAAAATAGTTGGATCTTTGCGTATGCTTTCAGCAAAGGGCTCTATTGCCAAGCCAAATATCAGTGGGGAGAGGGCATCCCTGCTTTGTCCCTCTGCATAAGCCAAAGGATGGTGATAGAATCTGGTTGGTAAGAACGCGAGCATGAGGACTGACATAAAGCAACTTCAGCATTGACATACATTTCTTAGTCAATTTAAATCTTTCTAATATTTTGAACAAATAGGGCCATTCGATCTGGTCTAATGCCTTCTCAGCGTCGACTGCCAAAACTGCCAACTCTTCTTTAGGTCTGGCAGTGGAGTAAATAATGTTAAATATTAGCCTGAGATTAAAAGATGAATTTCTCTGGGGTATAAATCCAGTTTGATCTGGGTGTACTAAAGGGGGCTTAATCTATTGGCAAGTATTTTAGAGAATACTTTCCCATCCAGGTTTAGCAAGTAGATGGGACGATAAGAACCAGCATTCCTACCTATTTTACAAATAACAGTTATAATTGCCTCTGTAATGGTGGGAGGGGAGGACTTTATCTACTAGAGTTTGAGCAAATGTTTTATGCAGGTATGGGCACAAAATCTCACTAAATTCAAAGCTCAAAGTATATCTGCGTGATGTACAAAAAGATTTTACTGATTTTGTCCCTCTCAGTGGGAAACTCCCACTAGGTTTATATCTGGGACTCTCCACCATTTGACCTTAGAACTGAAGAAGCTTCTCGGATGAGAGGTGAAACGTCTTCAAGCAACTTAAAGAAGTCCAGACGCTTTTCTTTGCAAGCTCCTTTGGCTATGATGACCTGGATGACTGAGAACCTTCACAGACATACAGTAGATTATTATATTCATATTTTAAAGACAGTATTCTCTTATGTAGCAGGATGGATGGCGTTTAGGCTTTCTCTTTATCCAAATCTTTAATTTGTTTGTCCAAGTCAAGGAGCTTAGCCCGGTTTCTCTTCCTTCTGGCTGATTCAAAAGAGATAATAGCATCGCTTAAATAGGCTCCCAAAGTGTAGCAGGCTTAGTTTCTGAGTTGCCATTTCCATCAATACGGAGAGATCTGTGTTTCTAAATATTCATGAAAATCCTTCTCGTGTAACAATAGAGGGTTAAGCCTCCATATTTGCTGCAGTCTAGTTGCATTTTAGATGTTTTAGGTTAATGTGACAGGGGAGTGATCTGAGATGACATGATACAGTGGCTTGCAAAAGTATCCGGCCCCCTTGAACTTTCCTACATTTTGTCACATTACAGCCACAAACATGAATCAATGTTATTGGAATTCCACGTGAAAGACCAACACAAAGTGGTGCACACGTGAGAAGTGGAACAAAATCATACATGATTCCAAACATTTTTCCAAATAAATAACTGCGAAGTGGGGTGTGAGTAATTATTCAGCCCCCTGAGTCAATACTTTGTAGAACCAGCTTTTGCTGCAGTTCCAGCTGCCAGTCTTTTAGGGTCTGTCTCTACCAGCTTTGCACATCTACAGACTGAAATCTTTGCCCATTCTTCTTTGCAAAACAGCTCCAGCTCAGTCAGATTAGATGGACAGCGTTTGTGATAGAGATGGACCGATCCGATATTAAGTATCGGTGTCGGTCTGATACTGACGTAAATTACTGAATCGGATATCGGAGAGAAATAAAAAATGTAATCCGATCCATTAAATATCAAAAAAGCACCTCAGAAAACTTGCGACACAGCCTAACTCGGCTCATAACCGTAACACATCGGAGCAGTATGCGTCACGTGATAGAGCGGCTGTGGCGTGCGAGACCTGTCGGCGGTCTGGTTGAGCATTTGGAGCCTCACTACCATTTCATCTCCGACAAAGTGATCCCAGAGAGAAGTAAAACAAGTGTGTAAGTTCAGCTCTGAATGTTTGTAAAGCATTCCCACGTTACGTTTAACAACCGATATATGGAGTGACTGCCTCTCTCTCTCTCTCTCTCTCCTGCTGCTACTTCAATCATGAAACTGATCAATGATCAGCTGATCGGCTTTTCTCTCTTCTTTGTTTTTGTCTCACTTTGCGCCAGAAAGAGGAAACCAGCGGCTGAACAACAGCAGCACGTTTAAGCTTGATAAGCTGCTGTTAGAATTTATTTAATATTTCTTTCTACACCAGGATCTTTTTCTACGCAGCTGACGGCTGTAACTGTTGTTTTGATTTGGTGCTGTATAAATAAAATTGAATTGAATTGAGTATTGCTAACTTTATCTCATAATTAAAGAGTCTGTCCTCTTTTGTCTGTTTAATTGTATTCTTGAGCTCGGTTGTCTGTTTTCTTATGTTTTGTTCAGTTCTGTTGTTTTTATTTGTTGTTTTTATTTTTAATGGTGATGTTACTGTAAAAGATAAAGTTTAAAACTCAATAAAGACAAAAAAAAAAAAAAGAAGGCAAATCCAATCAAATTCAATTCAACATTATTTATAAAGCACTTTGAAATAGCCAGCATAGGACCAAAGTGCTGTACAGTATGTAGTTAGAAATAATAGATAAAACACTCGCGTTGGACAGCTTGGGTTGTGTCATTCAGCCAGGGATCAGATTGAGTTTTAGGCTGCCTGGTTTTTAATGAAGCCACAGTGTCCAAAGCAGTCTGGCAGGTGGAATAAAACCATGAGCTCAGTTCCTCAGTCCGGCTGCATAAAAACTCCAGGATTTTACAGTTTGGATTAAAAACTGCTGAAAGTTGCTCAACAGTGGAGGAGTTAAAAACGCAACAGCAGCAGCGCTGCTACAGGCAAGAGGAACTTCAAAAATAACAATACTATGGTCAGAAAACACAGCATCACAAATCTCTACGTTGAAAACAGAAAAAACGAGATAAAACAAGATCAAGTGTGTTTCCACGTTCATGTGTGTGACAGGTCACACATTCCACAAGATTAAAAAAAACCCGCTGAGGTTTAAAAAGCCCTTTGCCATGGGCATATCAGGGCAACACGTGAATATTAACATCCTCAACAAGAAGAACACGATCATATTTTGGCATGCCAAGAAGTCATTCACAAAGTCTTTATTGTATTTTGGAGGACAATTGTTAGAGCCAATGCATAGAAAAATATTTTTGGTACCATTTCAGTTATTATGTTACATGTTTGGTTTATATAAGACGTTATCAGAGAATATATGCCGCGTGTTTCATTTTTGTCTGGAAAGATAAAATGATGGCGCATGTGTGGTAGCAGGTTAGAATGAGCCAGTACGGCAATGGAAATGTGCGCTGTAGCAGCAAAGAGCTTTTTGACTGTGACATCGTTTGTTTGTATGTACGAGTCAGAAGTAGAAGAATTATTTTTTCATGGCTTGGGACAGAAATTCGCCACTACAATGATAAACCACCGCGCACAACACTGTGTGAGAGCAGCCCTGCTCAAACAGCCAGTTCAAAGCTGCTGAATGGTGTGGATAACTGCTTACATTTAAAATGACCTTTAAAAATCATTGCAGCCCAACGTCTGCGGTGAATTAAAATAGCAGCAATCGTCAGGTTGTTCAGAGAAGATGCTACATTTAACAGTGCTCAGCCACGTCTCACACACGCACAGAAAATCCAGTCCTCGGGATATGAAGAGAGCCTTCAGAATAAAAGTTTTGTTTGCTAGGGACCTAGCATTTACCAGACCAATCTTGACAGTAAGTGGTGGATCTGCGTTGTTAGCCATCCTAGAAGCCCGACACAGAGGCCACAGGTTCTGCAAATTCACTCCAAGCCAGCTGGGACAAGCAGAGCAGGGTTTTCGGGGCTGGAACGTCCCAGCCAGCCATCGACAGGTTCCAGTGAATGCAGAGAGATAGAGAAGCGAGGCACCGCTCCGTGTTTTTTGGATAAGGGCGTACAAGAGCACCTTAAAGAAACTTCCAGCTTCACCAGGCAGCCATTACAGCGCCCCTGGTGACGGGGCACTTACGCCGGAGAGGTAGAGCTGGGATATGGCACAGCTGAGTTGGGATCTCAAATTTTTATGTCCAGCTTGGTTCAACTTTGCCAGATCTTTGGCAGAAAGTCAAAAAGCATTCATGTGAGTGGAAACTGATGAAACCAATCTTTATATATTTTAAATTTCTTGATTTTATTAAATTTATAGAACTCAAGTAGCCTTGGGATCTGCCAACAATGATTCCTGCAACATTTTCAATCAATAACATGATAAATGATGCCAAAGTGACACAGATTGTTGACATTTACATTTCTGTAGCCTATTGTCCAGAGGTTTATCTATAAGTGAATGAGAGTTTAGTGTTGACCTCTAACCTGCGTGTCTTTGTGTCTTACCATGGTCCGCTCACTGTGGGTGTGTTCTGCTGGTGTTGGTGCAAGTTGGTCCAGTTCGTCAGACTCCTGAAGACCTGCTCTCCTCTGCAGGGCGGGACTGCCCTCTCTGCTGCGAGGATGCACCTTCACAACATGACAACATGTCTTACACACCACAGACAAAATAAGGTGCTCACATTTTGCTGCTTTACAGTTGTTACTGCCATACCTCTAGTTAATGTATTTTGTGTTGCACTATGCATATTTTATATGTCATCAGCAGAGATGGGCAGTAACGCATTACTTGTAACGCGTTACTGTAATCTGATTACTTTTTTCAGGTAATGAGTAAAGTAAGGGGTTACTATTGCAAAAACAGTAATTAGATTACCGTTACTTTCCCGTAGGAACGCTGCGTTACTGCGTTACTAAAACCGTGATTTTTTGCCAGAAGCTGTGTGCAGATCAACAATGGATCACATATCAGTGCAGAGAGAGTATGAGCTGCAGCGTTTAAAGCGTGGAAGTACTGACCTTACTTTGAGTTTGATTCCATAAAAAGTGACAAAAACATTAGTGTCCGCTGTGCGTGGGAAGAAAACTTCTTTTTACAGCGAAAAAACCCCTAAACTTCCAACAAGCACCGAGTAGCTACGACGTAATGGGAAACTCACAGAGAAACTCGCGGATTCTTCCACTGACCGCGGCACACCTGCACCAGGGTAAACCTCCGCCTACCCCACTCCTGCTTTACAGGTGAAAATAGAGCAACAGGACCGCTGAGTCTTTGACTTTATTTATTTTCTGCTGTGTTTTACTTGCATCTATTTGAAAGACTGAGTGTAAACACAAAAAATATTTTATTTTATGTGCTGGAATGTGCAGAAAATAGGTTTAAATGTTAAACAAACTTCTTCCAGTCAGAGAATGTTGCAGATAATTAAATGTTTGCTTGATGCATAAAGTTAAAAGATTAAAACTAATAAAACAAGTTTTAAAAAGAGACTTTTTCATTTGATTACATTTTGTATGATGATTATGTAGAAAAAGTAGAATTGGGCTGAAAGATCTATCGCTTTATCACCTCTTCAGGTTGTAAATCGTGTTTTTAAAAAGTAACTAAGTAACTAAGTAAGTAATTACTTTTGAAAATAAGTAATCAGTAAAGTAACAGGATTACTTTTTTGGGGAAGTAATTGGTAATTAGTTACTGATTACTTTTTTCAAGTAACTTGACCAACACTGGTCATCAGGTCATTTATTTTGGAAATTCTCATGTAGGAACTATTGTACTGCATGTTGTTTCCGCTGGAGCACCTGAGTGACATGCTGAAGTATGAACATGGCAAGTTGAAGCAGGAGAGGGCAACTTAAGTCAGCGGAAGTTAAAGTGTTCTTAAAAGTATCTGTAAAGTGCTCATTTCTGCCTCTAAGCATGGGTCAGCCTGCGAGGTATGTTGTATATGTTATATAGATCATTTTATGTCTGTGTTTTACTCGTCTTACTATCTCATTGAATTTTATGTTGGGTTTTTTTCAACGGTGGCCTAGTTTGTGATCAAGGTGCTATAACAATATCAATCCCAAGATTGTACAATTCATATGAAAGCCACCTTCATGCCATCAGTAAAAAGAACTCTTAAAGAGTTCTTTAATGACTTTAAGAAGAGGTGAAAGTGATCAGTTATGCAGCCCAAGAACTATTATCCATATGGTACCTTAGCCACAGTGGGTGAGTGCCGTCCGGGGATGGGTTTCAGAGGGAGACCGGGGGAATGTTGGGAGGTCTGGACCACAGAAGGTGGTGTGCTCTTCGTTCCGTGGGCCACAATCAGAGACGGCAAGCCCACCAACCTGGTCTCAGCCTGGCTCCCAGAGAGAGAAGGAGTGAGCTGAGGCAGCCTGACTGAGGACCGAGGTTGGGGTTTTGGGGAGTTCTGAAGACTCTGGGTCTTTGCTGGTCCGTTGCCCAGTTCAACAGCTTCTACCGGCTCTAACTGGGCTGATCTGGGTGATGGGACCAACTCTGACACACACCTGGTGAAAACAGGAGCATTTTCAAGAGCGTTTTCTTGAGCAGTTTTAACTCTGAGTGAAAGTACTGAGTACCTGCGGAGAGAGCTGAGGGTGTCAGTCAGGGCTTTGACCCTCTTTAACATGGAGTCCATCTTAAGAGGCGCCTCCTTCAGGAAACGCATTGCCTCTACCTCCTGCCTCAACACCAAGCGCATCTTCATCTGCAGCTCTGGAAACTCACCTGGAAGATACCAAACAAGGAAGGGAACTTTACTCTGAGTACACTACCAAAATCTACATGACATATCAGGTTAATTATTTATTTCATTATTTCAATAACTCCCAGAGGTGACTGATTGAATTTTTTGAGTTTTTAATTAATTAATTATTAAAATCACTATAATATTTATTAGAACATTACATGACCAAACCATTCATATATCAAAATACAGATGTAATGCACCTATTACATGTTGGCCAATAAAATGATTGGTTCAACCTTTCACTGAGTCACCCTAAACCAGGTGTCGGCAACCTTTAACACCCAAACACCCGGGTCCGGTTTCCATGGAAAAGAAAATACTGGGAGCCGCAAATACTTTTTGACATCTTAAATGAAGATAACACTGCATATTGTTTTTTCATCTTTGCACTTTGTATAAAAGTGTGTTGCTTTTGAAATCCACGAGGTGCTACAGAGAAAGTTAAATTTTACTTACGTAATGAACACATTTTGAAGATAAATCAATAATAACAAAAACGAAACTTGTCGACTTGAAGGTGTTTTTCAAATGAGTTAAAAAGCTGAACTTAAATCATCCATGTAGCAAACAAAAAATTTCATGTCACAAAAAATGTCATTTTTATATCGCCTTTGACCAGAAATGAGCAGAATTTATAAAATATAATAGAAAAAAAGGTCTATGTCACTAAACAATTAAAAATTAATGTCTGCAAAATATCAGCATAAATATTTATTTCACCTGGTTAATGTTCCTGAACATTTGCTCACAGCGTCTGCAAAGCAGGGCTGTGCGAGGTCACTTTCATCTTTATGCAGGACTGTAAGCTGTCGTCTGTGAGGTGTGAGCGGTGTTTGTGGAGAACATGTATACGTGGATCCAAAGATCGACCGGACTCCAAATGCATATTTCTTCGTGTTTATGTGTCGGGGATGACATTCCATGTTTGTCCGGTCTTCAAAGGGTGTCAACATCACTCCATTTGTGATCCTGAACAAGAGTGGCCTTCTGATGGGCAACATCTTGACCCTCTGTCAAGCGTTTGAATTCGTACACCCACATATCTTTGTCAGCTATGTCAGCCAGCTCCAGATCAGGTTGACTTACACCTGCAAATGCAGGGAGGGAGGGATCGATGGTCAGGGGAGTGATAATGTGTTTTTTCCTCTCCGAACTCTTGGAATTGTTTCCCAAAACGATGCTTGCATCATGGTGATTGCAGACTGCAAATAATATCTGCATTTATTACCTTGTGACCTTGTTTAACCTCTCTTAAAGAGGGGAAGTGAGACAGTGTGCCTCTCTGTAAATCTCTGACTAAAACTGTCGGCTTGTGCTCAAGCCCTAACACCTCCTCCAGCATGTGTAGCGCTGTGCCTGCCCTGAAGAGTTGTATTCAGCTTGTTCAGGTTTGCTATCATGTCCACCGTCAAGTGCAGCCTTTCCAGCCACTCTGGCTGTTCAGAAAAGGCGAGCAGTTTGCTGCTCATGAAAGTTTTCACCTCTTCCAGACCTGCACCAAAGCGTTTCAGCACCTCTCCCCTGGACAGCCACCGGACTCTGTTATACATGAGGAGATCAGAGTAGGTGCTCTGCATCTCATCCAATAACAAATGGAACTGATGGTGATTTAAACATTTTGCTATTATTTTATTGCTAATCTGATTGACAACATTCATGACCTCTGTGCATTCTGGAGGAAAGGTTTGCGTGCACAATGTCTCTTGGTGCAGGATGCAGTGAAATGTCAGCAGCTTTCTATCCAGTGACTTCTGCAGCAATGCCAAGAAGCCCCCGTGCACACCAATCAGACTTGGCGCCCCATCAGTAGCCACTGACACTAGGTGGGTTGTTTCCATTTCTTTAGCTCTTAAACAATCAAGCACAGCTTCACAGACGTCCTTCTCCAGTGTCTGGCATTTTAGTGGTATCATCTCAATCATTTCTTCCTGTGGTGGTGCGGCTTCCCATGCCTGACTATTTCCTGAGTGGTCACAAAATCTGCATGTATAGTTGAATTTGCCAATTTCATCCTTCGGCATCAGTTCCGAAACAGCTTTTTTTCTCTCCTCTCCCTCTGGATATTTATCAGCAAAGGTCGTGTGTTTAGTTTGGACATGTCTTGTGACATGTAAGCTTTTATTGTTAGCCAGTCTCTCTCCACAGATTAGGCATACTGGTAGGCCAGAATGAATCTGCCCAAGTATCATTAATTATTCTATTTCTTCAGATATTTTTCTTTTCTTACTTTTCTCCGGCTTCCACAAGCGTGACGCTTGTTTAAAATAAAATATAATTAAATTTTAATATTTCACGATCACAATAATCTTCCAATTTGAACTACAATTTAAAAAAGAACTAACAAAAATAAAGTACACCTCAATTAAATACTTATAACTTATTTTCCCACGCCACGCAGAGCCGCAGTATAAGGATGAAAGAGCCGCATGCACTGCAGGTCGCTGACCCCTGCCCTAAACCCACTAACCTTTGAGAATGGCCAGAGTTTCCCCGACCCCCCGTAGGCTCATCGCTCCTTCCTCTACATCTCTCAGAGTTACACTCAGCTGGCTTGAACCGGTAATGGAGCTTCTTTGCAAATGGTCCACATAGTCCTCCAGTTCACTGCAAAGTAAAGAACACAGAAGACAGAAACATGGCATTAACAGTCACAGGCAGCAGAGTCAACTCTGTGACGGCCTGCTGTAGAAACAAGATGGCAGCAGAGAGCAGGTTTAAGGAGTCACAGTCACTGGTCCTGTGTGTGGCCCTAATAATCAGTGATTATTACGTTAATTCTTTTTGTGAATAACTTGAAAACTGCTGCACCTAAAAGTCTGCTACATGAAATGTTCAAGTGACTGGAATGTTCTGACATGGTATCTTGTAGCTTGCCAGCACTTTACTAGATAGACCAGTCTGACAACATAAACACACATAAGCCATCATCAGAAGTGATGTATGTATAAAAGCTTGGGTGCTGCAAGGTTAGATTAGATTGAACTTCAATTTCATTGCACAGCTTACAAGTAATATAAAAGTACATATGCAGTTAGCCTCTAACCTCAAGGGTAGGAGCAATAAATGCATAGACACTATGCACATAAATATACATAATATAATAACCAGAGCTAAGTGAGCGACATCAAGCAGGTCTACAGAGTGACACAACACCCCCACCTGACCTAATCTGACCACCTCTCACTGGTCCTCATCCCTGCCTACATCCCCTGCAGCAAACAGACCCATCCAGGCACCTGGGTCATTAAAACATGGCTAGATGGTGCTCTCCTCCAACTACAGGACTGTTTTGATATAACAGCCTGGTCCATCTTTGAACAACGGGACCTGGAGACCTTCAGTCAGTCTGTCCCTTTCTACATCAAGTGTTGTGTAGATGTGACAGCGACAGAAACCAAACGTGTTTATCTTAACCCAAAGCTTTATGGCTGTGGTTAAAGGCTGCGCAGATCCTCACAGGTGGAATGACTGTCTCACTGCGTCCCACATCAGCAGCGATGACGCGCTGTGAGAGATCCTGCTTATGCAGTTCAACAACGCGACCACGTTCACGTTGCCTTTGTCATCAGAACGTCATGACAGCGTGACTACCTGACAGAAAATGACAATGAATCCACATTTTTGCCACAGATTTGGCCTTTTAAAGGCGTGTGATCCTAACCTTTTGATCAGCTGTAAAACAGCCTGTTTCAGTTTAAGCGCTGTTTTCAATAAATTGCATGTTCAAAAATGTTTTGTCTCACTCCCATTTCTTCTTGTTGCATGTTGAAGCTCTACTTGGAAACTTGTTAAGATCCAACCATGCAAAATATGATTTTTGGCCATTTTTCAAGTGGTCTTAAACTTTTGATCGGGACTGTTTACTGAGTTTATTGTCTACTGAAGCATATTTTCAATATGGTTATATGCAATAAAATTCCAAAATAAATTAGGCAAGGAAAAAAGTATTCCTTTTGTTCTATGTTCCAGCCTCAGCTGCTTTGACATAGTAACATCTCCTCTAATATTTCCACCTCTGATGAATCTGCCAAGTGTTAGCTTTATTATAGATACCAAGAGCACGAACCTCAGAAAGAACCTTGGGGCTTAAGAGAGTAGGCTGGCTTGATATGTTGGTATCTGGTTAAACGTGTGTTTGAATTCGCATAGAGAAACATAACTGTGTCCCAGTTATTCTGAAACTCCTACTCATGAACCTTCATAAATGCCAAACCATGTTAGCAGAGTACGTTGAAAAAAGAAGTTAATGTGTAGCATGTTATTATGTGAACGAATTATGATGTGTTTGGAAGACCATGCCATACCAAATCAAATCACTTCCCACCCCACTCCTCTATTTTTAACAATTGCTTTTTAACATTAGGCCTACAAGTTGATATGTCACGCCATGCATGCCACCAATGATTTGACTTCAGCTGCATTTTACACTATAAAGGGTCATGATGTCAGACCACGTCTGTGAATGTTGGAAGGACTAAATCATGGTCAGTCAGTGCTTTAACTTTAAATGAAAGAGGACAGCTGAAATCTTGACATCAGCATCTATTTAGGTCAGCAACTCTTAAAGTCTGATGTAAAGACACTACACATAACTACTCGTTTATATAACAGCTGGAAGGGAACAGATCTAAACAAGGTTGGACAAGGGCTACCATGGGCTCAAGCAAAGGTAGGACTTTTGGAGTTGCAGTAAAAGCTTTCACTGGGAGTGGGGTGGCTCTGTCGGCCAACAGTGATGTTGAGTCACATCAGGGGATGATTCCTTTGGTTGCAAAAAGAAATCTATGGGAAATCGAACCTTCAGCAGCAGTTATGACCTCAACAAATATTTTGCTGATAAGTTTATGGTTTCAGTTGCTAGTTTCAAGTTTCATTGTAAAACTGCATTAGATAAATTTCAATTGAACATAATGTTAATTTTGTAAGTGATTATCCCAGTTATAGTCCAGCATGATGATAAAGCAAGTCATGTATCTCAGTTTCTGCATTAGATCCACTCCTCACTTGTTTGGATTAAAACCACCAAGATATTGATGCTTAGGATTGAAAATGGCATCTGAACAAACCGCAAGACTGCCAGAGCAATTTGCTTTAGAGATATGACACCAAAGTGATGTTTATCCATAATGCACAGCATAACGTTTGGAAAAAAAACCCTAATACAGCATAGCAGCACAAACACCTAACACCAACCGTCAGAACGGTGGTGGAAGGATGAAAATTCGGGCATCTTTCCGTTACCAAGTCCACTATGAACTCATCTGTTCACCTGTTCAGTATTCTAGAGTCAAATGTGAGGCCATCTATCTTACAGCTAAAGCTTGGATCAAACTTGGTCATCAACAAGACAATATGGAAATCTACAAGAGCTTATCATCTATAATAATGGCTGAAAAAGAAAAGAATCAAGGTGCTGCAGTGGTCCAAAGTGCAGACCTCAACCGGACTGAAATGCTGTGGCGGGCCATTCAAACAGCTGAGCACAGACCAAACTTAATGCTGTAAAGAGAAGGGAAAATTCCTACAAGATAATGCTGTGAAATGTGGTTCTACAAGCTACTGATTCATGGGGTGTCCTTAGTTATTAATAGCGTTACATCCCTGGGTGGATCCTATCCACTGGATACTGTGGCTCACATAACTCACAGATGCAGGCCTTGCAGCAGTTAACTCAGAAGGTGAAGAGGAAATGATGTCTCACTATGTTAACAGGTCTTCATATAGGCTGCAAAAACTGCTTGTTTCTTTATTTTAAAAAGGCCTTCGTAAAACTAGAACATTACTATTTGCCAATGATCGAGGAAAAACTAGATCATTTTAAAAGCCCTTAGTTAAACCCAGCTGTCTTAGTTAATTTTAAGTCAGTTTCAAGCCTTCTCTTTATCTCAGAAATTCTTGAAAGAGAAAGTTGTGAAACAGCTAAGTGATCATCTGCAGAGGAACAATTTATTTGAAAAGTTAACTCAGGTTTCAGAGCTCATCACAGCACAGAAACAGCATTAGTGAAGGTTACGAATGATCTTCTTGTGGCCTCTGACAGCAGGTCTGTCATAACAGACCAGCACAGTGTGGTTCATGGCTACTCCTTCAAAAGATTAGTATTTTTAAAAAATTCTTGAATTCTTAAATTCATTTTCTTACCTAAGCTGTGTGAGTATTTTCTCCTCTTCAGCGAGGTAGAGGCTCCTCTCCTCTTCCAATTCAGCTCTCTGTCTGAATGCTGCCTCCTCAAATCGAGCCAGCCGATCACACATCAACACCACTAGCTCGTGGCCTGCCATCTGCAGTGTAGAACTCACAGTCTCTTGGTTTGATAGCTGAAAAACATCCAGCAAGTCAGAAATCAGGAAAACGTTTTGGGGTTTTCAGAGCAAATATTGGTAATATGGCCATTTCAACACAACACACAACGCTTGTTTAAGGCAAATGATGAACTGAGGTGTTGCAGCAAGGCCCAGCATAAGATCATCTTCTCCTTCTGACTACTCTCTGTAGGGATCACAACAAGTGATAATTTACCTCGATCTCACTATCCAGCCATCACAAGCATCCTCCACTGTGACACCTACCCTCTGCATGTCCTTCTTCACTATATCCATGAGGTCTTCTCCTTGTCCTCCTGCCGTTCAGCTGCATACTCAGAATTCTTTGCACAATATGTTGTTTACCCCTCCTTTGCACATCTCTAACTTTTACTCCAACCTAAGGCGGCAGTAAATTATTGCCACCATAAAAAACACAAGTCGCAGCAGGTCTCACTACCATCCTATAAACCTTCCCTTTCAGTCTTGCTGCTTTCCTTCTGTCACAAATCAACACTGACACTCACACCACCCTGGCTGCACTCTTCTTCAGCTTTGGATGATTGCCTCCAGGTATTTAAACCTTGACTACCTCTAGTCCTTGCATCTTCATTGTTACACCTGTCTTCCTCGTATTCACACATACATTATATTCTATCTTGCTTCTTACATTCCTGTTCTCTCCAGAGCCTACCTCCACCTCTCCAGGCTCTGTTCCACTGCTCTCTGATCTCACTACAGATCACAGTGTCGTCTGTAAACATCATAGTCCACAGAGACTCTGTCTAAACTCATCTGTCAGCCTGTCCATCAGCACTGCAAACAAGAAGGGGCTCAGAGCTGCTCCCTGGTGTAATCCCACCCACTTAACAGTTTGATACTGTTGACCATAATATTTTATTATAGCAATTAGAGCATTCTGTAGGTATTAATGTTCCACAGGGCTCCGTGCTAGGACCAATTCGGTTTACATTATACATGCTTCCCTTGGGCAGTATCATCAATCATAGCATACAGTTTCATTAATTTGCTATGCAGATGAAACCCAGCTCTATCTGTCCATGAAGCCAGATAACAGACATCAATGAGTTAAACTGCAGGAATGTCTTAAAGACATAAAGACCTGGATGTCCTCCAATTTCCTGCTTGTAAATTCAGATAAAACTGAGCTTATTATACACAGCCCCAAAAATCTTACACAATGGTATCTAACCAGATGCTACTCATTACCTTGGCCTCCGGTAACACTGTGAGGAACCTTGGATTCCTTTTTGACCAGGACATGTCCTTCGATGTCAAATTAAACAAATATGTAGAACTGCATTTGTGCAGTATCTCATCCTGTCTCAGGCTGATGCTGAAAACTAGTTCATGCATTTATTACTTCCAGGCTGGACGACTGTAATTCATTATTATCAGGATTTCCTAAAAACTCCCTGAAAAGCCTTCAGCTAATCCAAAATGCTGCAGCAAGAGTCCTGACAGGGACTAGAAAGAGAGAGCATAGCTCTTCCATACTGGCCTCTCTTCTTTGGCTCACAGTTAAATCCAGAATCAATCATCTTTAGGCATGAAAAGATGAATAAAAATCCTGATTGAGGTTGTCATAATTCATGCATGACAGCGTTAAATAACAATAATTACAATGACAGTACAAGAAAACAGCCTTTGAACAGCAGCAAAGCAGAATGGCTTCCAGGTCCTTCTTCGGTGAAATCGGCTTCCTGTTTGCAATCGGGAGACAGACACCCTCTCTACTTTTAAGGTTAGGCTTAAAATGTTTTGAGAAAGCATATAGCTGGGGTTGGATCAGGTGACCCTGAATTCTCCCTTAGAGACACTCCGATATTTCTTGGCTGCTAGGGGCTTTCCATGATGCTTTGCGTCTTCTTCAGTCAGATGTGTTTTTTTTTCCATCACTATGTGTTTACACACCACTTTGCATTTAATCATTAGTTATTATTAATCTCTGGGTCTATTCCACAGCATGACTTTGTCCCATCTTCTTCCCCTAACCCCCAGGGGGTCGCAGCAGATGGCCTCCCCTCCCTGAGCGTGGTTCTGCTGAAGGTTTCTTACTGTTAAAAGGGTTTTTTCTTTCCTATTGTCACCAAAGCACATGCTCATTGGGGGTCCGATTGTTGAGGTTTTCTCTGATCTCTCTGTATGTAAAGCACCTTAAGGCAACTATCGCTGTGATTTGACGCTATATAAATAAAACTAAATTGAAGTGAATTGATTTGGCTCGGAGCGCTTTGAGTTGTCAGTGAGACAACATAAGTAGTTAGAAAGTACACGTCAGTATTTACTACTATTATTAATAACTTTATTACTTGTGTTGCATTAACTGTAAATAGTGAGCAGAGTTGAGTACCTGTAACTGTCTGAGCTGGTTCAACTGGAGTCGCAGCTCACACACATTCCTCTTGGCTGACACTAAACGCTGTTGCACTCTGCTGTCAGAAGCAGGGGCCCGAGCAGCTGGATGGATGGAGGTAAAGCTGTCAGTCAGAGCAGCAGGATTCTGGGGCTCAGATGATACTCCTGAAGGGCAAAGAAATTGTTTTCTTTTCAGAATTTTCACACCATGAGACACACTCATAGTGGCAATATGTACATTTAAGAAACCTCTCACCAAGTCTGTTGTTTATAAGGTTGCATTCTGGACTCTCACTGAAAAACACAGACAGACAAAAGACCTAAAATGACTGTTTAACCCAGGTTTATATCGTATGCAGAAATAATCTTACTTTATGAGGCAAAGATCTGTTAGTCAAACTAATATTATATTTGATTAAATGAATTCTTGTTTTATACACATTGTTATTTTAAATACTACCAACAGCAAACATAATAAATGTAAGAATAATTAATATAGTAATTGTTAATATCAGTAGATGTTACAGACCTGACAGCACCCTTGTCTCCGGGTCCTATGGACAAAGCGTGGTGCACTAGCCCTGCTAGACTGGCTATCTGCTCCTCCATGGCTTTGATTCTCTCACTGATAAATAGGAATACATACATTATATCCATCGCATAACACTTATATGAACCATGAGAACAGCTTGCCACCATGTAACTGTCATAATTTCGTTTAAGCACCATCTCCCAACCGTTGGTCTCATGATTCTTTATATTGGAAGGGAAATACACTCCGATATTAGTGGATGAGCAATTTTGAGAGCATCCTGGTAGTTCACCCTGAGTCTACATCATCAGGAGGAAGAAAGGTTCACATGATCAGCCCTAACCATACGCTTTATCAAAAGGAACAGTTGAAGCTTAATCTTAAAAACAACTCCCCTCTCCACTTCCTCACTGGTCACTTCCCCATTGACATTTAGTTTAGCTATGAATCTGAGCTCCCTGTACTGATCATACTTGAAAAAGCCTTAAAGGACAAAATAAGGTTAATCAATTTATGCATTTAGTGACTTAAGTGGGGTCAGTTTTGGAAGAGTCCAGCTGAACCAAGCACAACATTTGTTAATGGAGTTTTACTTTTATAACACATTTCTACTCTGAGCATTCAAAGCAAATCTCAAGAGGCCTGTTTTGTTACTTTGCAGATATCATCACTGTGTGATATTTTGCAGTTACTGAGTGTCAGATTTTGAAACTTCTACCACGCAATTTCGACCTAGTAACAGAAATATCTCATAGGACAAATGCGAGATAAGTCGTTAGTTGTGTATTTAATTCAAAAAGGGCAACATGTCATGTTTTGTTCTTGGAGCAGAGTATATCTGGGCTGATTATCAGCTACTGGTATAATCTATCACTATAAGCATTCACTGAGTGTAACATAAGGACTATTTTTGTGATGCAACTGGCTAAACATGGAAAATAACCGAACCCACTGCTTAGTTATCTTTCTCATACATTATGAAAGACACAAGAAAAGTTGTTCTTTTTTGTCGTTTAAAAGAACATCTGTGATTTATGTTTCCTGTGGTTTCGTCATAGGCTGCAATGCAACAAGGCAATTACTCTGGCTATCAGCTCACCTTTGGGCATTGCTGGCATTCATATGGCCCTGAAACAGTCTCTCAGTTTGTCCCAGAGGACTGTCAGCAAAAACAGATGAGGTGGAGGATGAGGATCCACTTCCTCTGCTTCTGCTTATAATCTCTAGTGTAGCACTGTTATTGTCCTGCCCCAGGGACTGGCGAATCAGTGACTTCTTCTCAGGAGACACTAGGCCCACACCTCCGATGATTTGTCCACCATCAAACATCCTGACTTCACTCAGTCTGTGAGGGGAACTAGGTGGGATTTTGGTTCCCATTGGGGGAAGCTGACCGTCAGCATACTTCCTACTCTTCCGCCTAGAGAAAGAAAAAGCAGATGGAATAGAAAGTGAATGTATGTACAGCAGTGTAAAACCCACAAACAATATGGTCCTTTGATAAATAGATGAAAAATCAAGTAATCAGTTTATCAAAGTCTCTAATTTCTATCGTAGTTTTCAGTATAATAGAGATGGATATAATAGCAATCAGTTAGTTATTACAAGTCATCGATTGATTTCATGTCATTGATTGAAATAAATGTTCCCAATCTTGTAGTTGGTCACCAGGTTTGCACACATCTCAGGAGGAATTGTTGCCTACGTCTTTAATAACTAACTCTAAATCCTTTAGGTTTCTTGACTACTGCCAAGCAAGTTGAAGCTTCAGCTACCTTCACAGGCTTTCTACAGGATGGTCTGGAGGAAAGAGCTTACATAGAGCTCCAGACCACTGATGTTTTTTACATGACAAAAGTGATTTAGACAAACAAACAAACAAAAATTACAAACAACAATATAGTATACACAACTGCACCAAATTGTGGATTATTAAACATTATGTCTCGCCCTTCTGAGCCCCTGTCAGTACATAAATTAGTAATTGATGAACAAATTGATTTAGTTTGCTTTAAAGAAACCTGGTTAGAGCAGAATAATTATGTTAGTTTAAATGAATCAATAGCCTTGAATCCTTGAACCACAAGCTACAGAGGGTGTGGCAGCAATCTTCCACTCCATCTTACAAATCATCCAAAGACCCACACAGAGTTTTAATTAATTTGAAAGCTTGATGCTTAGCCTACCCTCACTGGAAAACTTAAAAAAACAACAAAAAAACCCAAGAAAACCCAAATCCTCTTTTGTCGGATATTTTCCTTATAATACTTAAATCTCCAATAGTGGAAACAATAGTACAAAGCAGTGGAAAAGTACATTTCATCACAGTAGATCTCTTTCTCAAAGGACTGTAATTAAGTTTAAGGATATAATTTCCCCATGTGCCAACACAATGCCGAGCAGGTACTTAAACTCTACTCCCTAATATTTTTTTTACAACTTCAATGCATATTTAATTTTCTGTAATATATTTATAATTAGAGCTATTTGCATTTATTAGAGATATTTTGTTAAATTTTGTAACTTTGAAATATATTCTTTTATTTAGTTCAGTTTAGTTCATTACTGTTCTTTTCATTTTGGAGCAATTGTCACCACATCGTTTCCTCTTCGATTATTAAGGTATTCTGATTTTGATTTTGATTCAGATGATTCCTGGAAGAAATATAATCCAGTTCAGTTCAATTTTATTTATATAGTGCCAAATTGCAACAAGGTGCTTTAAACTGATAAAGACTCCACAACAATACAGAGAAAACAAATAAAATCCCAACAATCAGATGGTCCCCTATGAACAAGCACTTTGGTGACAGTGTAGAGGAACAAAAGCTCCCTTTAACAGTAAGAAACCTCCGGTTACTATCGTTCAGGGAGGGGCGGCTATATGTCACGACCGGCTGGGGATGAGGGAAGGAAGACAAGACAAAGACATGCCAGGGAAGAGACCCATAGATTAATAATAACTTAAGATTAAAAGCAGAGGAAAAAAAGCAGAAAAAAAAAGAGTGAAGAAGAAACGCTCGGTGATAATGGAAAGCCTACTGCAGTGTAACTAAGGGAGTATTCACAGTAACCTGATCCAGCCCTAACTATATTTTTTTTATCAAAAAGGAAAGTTTTAAGATGAATCTTAAAAGTAAATCCAAATCCAAACTGGGAGCACATGGCTCTGCCTCCCATTCTACTTTTGAATACCCGAAGAACCAGAAGTAAACCAGAAGCCTGAGAGCAAAATGCTCTACTGGAGTGAGAAGATATTAAGCGGCCTTTAAGATAAGATGGGGCATGATTATTCAAGACCTTGTATGCAATGAGAAGGATTTTAAATTCAGTTCTAGATTTAGATATATATCTGAGCAATAAAGCTTATGAGTAGGAAACACTGTTGTATCCGACCTGCTTTATGCACAAAAATAATCACGTGAGTAAATGACTAAATTAATACAATCCATGTAGAGATTTGTTTTCCTGTGCCAAGACTTGTTGATTATATGATTTTTGGCCAGGCCTGCCCTCAACAGCACACACAGGCTGTACATTCACTTTAAAATATTTGCTATATAAAAGACTTACAGGATGGCTGTCTGATCTTGAGTGATATAACATCAGCAGTGTTGGGTAGGTTCATTTTTCCAAAATGTATTTTGTAACGTATTCCGTTACGTTACGTTACTCAATAAGAGTAACATATTCTGAATACTTTGGATTACTTAATACATTATCATGCTTTTTACAACTACATGAATGTCCTATTGCTGTGTGATTTATTACTATTACTGAAGGTTACTCTCCACACCAACACCAACTAGATGTTTAAATCTTAATATAAATGAGTAACAGTAGGTGGACATTAGGTAAGGCTGCACTTTCTGCAGCGATCTCATATAGAAAACTATTCCACGCGTATATAAAACAGGTCCATGGCTCCGAACCGTAGTAAAGGGACCTCTGGCTGAAAACTAGCTTTACTTTGTTGTCTGGGTCAACTTTGCTAGCAGAGACAGAGAGAGGCGTTGAAAGGCTGCTCCAGCAGAACTTATTGTTTCAGAGGAAAACACGAACACAGTGTACAGTCGAGTCTTAACAGCTTACTTACAGCTGGGCTCGTCAGGCTCTCTTCTTGGCTGCAGTGGTTATTATTATATTTACATGCTATGCCTTTATCACACTGCCTATCGTCTTCATATTAAATAATTTGTTGAATAATACTATTTAAAAATATTTCTTCACGTCATTATGCGGGCCACAATAAGGGGTGACATGTGCCGCGAGGTTAAGTCACACGCATTAGAGCCTCTTAATGTGCGTTTTGTTTAGGTTTCCATCAGCGTGGAATTACCAGAAATAGAGAGGGCATAGCCTTATGAAACAGGAAAATACCGCCGTGTAATCCATTTATTTCAACAAAGTAACTATTCTGAATACCACCTTTTTAAATGGTAACTGTAACGGATACAGTTACTCATATTTTGTCTTTTACATATGTAACGGTGGTACATGTATTCCGTTACTCCCCAACACTTAACATCACACTCACATAGGCCTTGCCCAGTCAGCTCCTACTTGAATTCAATTCAGTTTTGTGCCAAATCACAACAATTGCCTCAAGGCACTTTAAACGTTCTACTATTGGATTGCAAAATGGCATGCTGTAACTGTCAGGCCACATACCCAAAGTGACTTTTCTATTTCTTTGGTTTAGCTAACCAAAGAAACTGTGTGGCTGTAGCTCAGGTGGTAGTGCAGGTCATCTGCTAATGGGAAGGTTGGTGGGTTGATTCCTGGCTGCTCCAGTCTACATGTCAAATATCCCTGCAAGATACTAATGTCACGGCGGGGTGCGCCTGTGTGTTTTTTGAAACAGGACCCAAAAGCAGATGTGGACGAGGTGTTGCAAGTTTAAACAGAAAGCGATCCTTTATTTGGATGATTACAGGGGTTAACCAAGGAACCCTAAGCAAACTAAAAAACACTAAGAAACAAATACTACGAAGTTCTATGACTATGGTGGGGATAACAGACGACCCGACAATGACATTCAGAAAACAGAGGACTTAAATACACACATGAGGTGATCAGGGGAAGTGGAGACACATGAGGAAACAGCTGACTAGGATAAACATAATGATGCACAGGCAAGAGTAAAACTAACCGCATGAGCACAGAACACAAGACCCCTTTCAAAATAAAACAGGAAACATGCAGACTTAGACACGACAACCAGAACTTAACAGGCCTAACACGCATGACAGACTAGACAAGGAACCAAACATAACCACACAGACATGACACATGAACCAGGGAAACTTAGTACAGGGGAGATGACATAACTAACAAACAGGACTACACAGCAATCTAGAAATTAACTAGGTGCACTAAGCTAAGGCACAAAATAAATACAAAAGATACATAAACTCAAACACTGGGTCGCTTGACCCAGGACCATGACAACTAACCCCAAGTTGCTTTCGCATGCAGCTATCAAGAGTGTGAATGTTAGATAGAAATCACTATAATACAATCAGCTCATTTACCTACATTTGAATTACCGAAAAATGTCGAACTAAAGATTACACTGACAAAAAAGTTTGTTTTTTGTGTGTTTAGATGTTTCTTTTATATGCTGCCCAATGACTGTAGAAAACTGTCGGGTAGTCCAGTTTACTGAAGAACACCTCAGGCAGTCAGGTTAAAACACTCGGTCGTGTTTTCGTAGCGTAAACGCTGGCCCTCCTCTCAGAGCCTACGCTCTATCTGCTATTCCCGAACAGAGATACGCAAGTTTCTCCGTGACTGCAGCTGCCAGTCAAAGCTGTTATGATGACGTTTCACCCCAATTTAACATCACTGTGGTAGGAATTAGGAATTAGAATCAAACTTATGGGAAAGGAGACCTCTTGGACATCAATCAGCGTGATGAGAACTATTGAAAACAAAAGAAAGAATCTTTGGAAAAAATTTATCTGAGGAGAATTCATTTATTTTAGTCTGACCCCAGTCCCATCCGCTAACATGGAGGAGGTTTATGACCTATACTGCAGCCAGACACCAGGGGGCGATAGAGACGTTTTGGCTTCATTTTTGTGGAGCTGTTGCGTCGTCCATCTTTTATACAGTCATTGATGCTGCCCAACTAAAAATGATCATTTTTAACCCATTATAAGAACTACATCTAACACATGTACCTAAACTGATACAGCCTGTTGCCTCCTGGCTGCTGCATACACCCAAATGGTGCAGAAATGAAGCATTAAACTTCAGACATTTCCTATTGCATATGTGTGTAAATAGGCAAGTATACCTGTGGAGGGAATGGGTCCCGTCCTCTAGATTATATTGGCTCTCTCCATAGCCCATCAGGGGTTTAATGCAGGCTCGGTACTGCTGCAGCCCTGCTGGGAGTCCTAGGACTCCAACATTCACCACATCTGTTGCGAGAGATGGAGGGGCACTGCACTGGGAGGAGATGCTGCGGCGAGCTATTCCATCCTGCAGAGAAGCGCAGTAGGAGTCTGGATGTGGTCCTCCTTCACCACGCACCACCAAGGCCATGACCTTACTGCTGTCAACGTTCTCATCTGACACATACATGCATTTACACATAAACACACTGTCACTTTAGAATGTGGAGCAAACACACATAAAGAGTAAAAACACAGCCAGTGGTTATGTTTCCAAGAGTGTAGTGCAAGTAAAATCAGTCCAGCATTGTACACCGGGTTGCCATGTGGAACAAAAAACAAAAAAAATGCAAAAAGCTCAAATACACACACACACACACACACACACACACCCACACACACACACACACACACACACACACACACACACACAAACCCCAGACATTCAGACATTCTGCTTAAATGTGAAACTAAAGCTAGTTTACACAGCAGTAACGAGGTTTCTGGTTATCTGTGTGTATAGCAGCGGCAGACATAATGGGAGGTGGCTTACATCATTACAACTAATCACAGCCCATAACTTCTTCCCTTATGTCACAGCAAAGGGGGAAAAAAACACTTGCAGTAGTGACTCATTGTTCAGTAGGAATCAGCTAAAAAGCACATTCCTGCTGGAGGAATCTCACCAGGCTTGACATCTCTCCTCTCCAGGATGGCACTGCTGGTGCATATGGCACTGGATCGTCCTGCTCCCGAAAGGCGAAGTGTCTGTGCTGATGTAGTGCTGGGGTCCCGCACTCCCCCACTGCCCCCTCCACCATATGCCACCCTGGAAGGGGAGGAGGGCATAGACCGGGCCATGGGTGGAGACATGGAACCTTGCAGGCTTTGGAGGGTGCCACGACTGGATGATGACAAGGTGTGGACTGGACTGTGACTGCCATACAACACTTCTCTGGGGATCTGAAGAAAGTGAAAAAAGTGCTCTGAAACTGCACCATCACCACAACTTAGAACCACAGACGGGGGGATAGAGCACTTTCCATAACACTTCATTGACGGCTGGAGTCACATCAGCCTGTTTTAAATCAGCAGTGGTGGTACAATCGTGAAAAAGCCTGGACTCAGTTGACTGAGTTGCAAACTATAGACGCATGTCACATCTATCTTTGTTGTCCAAGATCTTTGAAAAAGTTGTTTCTATGCAGCTCACCGACCATCTGTCAACAATCAGTTTGAGCCACTTCAGTCTGCTTTCAGACCAACCCGCTCCACAGAACCAGCTTTAATCAAAGTGGTAAATGAGACAATGATCGCACTTCAGTTTTATTACTGCTAGATCTAAGCGCTGGTTTGACACTGTGGATCACTGTATTTTACTGGATAAGATTGAACGTTTTATCAGCATTTTTATCGGCATGTATCCTGGCTGAGATCCTACCTGTCTGGGAAATCTCAGAATGTTAGTTTTAAAAATGATCTCTCTGAGACCTGCGCTGTGAGGCATGGGGTCCCCTCAAGGGTCTGTACCTGGCCTATTACTGTTTCCTCTCTATCTGCTGCTTCTTGGTCTTCTTCTATGTTATTTTCATGTAACCTTTCACTGTTATGCTGATGCCTGCAACTATATGATCCTTTAACCATTGGAAACTGTGCTGACTTGTCCAAACTGGAAGCTTGTCTATCTGCAATTAGGGGCTGGTTATCTGATCATTTTCAGCTTTGATGGTCATTGGACCACAAAACTTTCACTTGTCTTCGCGTATTGATTATTGTAATGATCTCCTCTCTGGGTTGACGAAGAAAAGTTTTAGAGGTTTACAGACTGTACAAAATGTGGCTGCCTGCATTTTAACCAAAATAGGGAAATATGAACATATTACTCTAGTACTGAAATCTCTTCACTAGTTGCCTTGTAGGGTTCGAGCAGATTTTAAGATCCTGTTGCTCACCTACAAGACTTTAAATGGTCTGGCGCCTTCATATCTCTCTGACCTTTTGCACCTTTATGTTCCATTCAGTGCTCTCCAATCTCAGGGCAGAGACATAGTCACAGCAGAGTTTACTGGTTTCAGGTGCTGGATGCCAAGCACTGTTGTTCACACTGGTGCACACTAGTACTGCTGGGTAACCCTCACAATTGCGACATGATACTTCTTTCTGCTCATTTAGTTTAATTTCATGTTTTTGTTCAATCACCTTTTATGAACAGCCCCGTTCTGAGTGAGTTGGGGATTCCTTCCTTTTCTGCTGTGGAGTCCTTTTTGGCCAGTTGTTGTTTAACAGGTGTGAATATGCATTTAATTCAAAAGTGTTTAGCTGATCCCAACAAGTCAGTTTCATCTTTCAGGCTTTGATCATAAAGCACATGTAATGTATTAATGAAACTCAGTCAACCTTCCAATGAAAATCAAGCGGAAATTTCATCATTTCACCAAACCCCAAGAAGTGTATAGCTGAATTTTAAAAGTACTTCCATTTGATAAATGGAATTTTTATGTTTTTGTGAATTCTGGATACACCCTTACATAAAATATATATCACTCACTCAGGCAAACAAAAACATTCCTGACTCTGGGTCTTAAGAAAAAGAAATAATGTATAAGAAAGAATAAGTAATCTCAGCTAATTAAAAAAAATAATAATACAAACGATACAAAAATGTACCAAATACCAAACCACCACCCCAAAATGTCACATACAAACATTTACTGAAAATGTTGAAAGTATAATTGTGCTTCTTTGTCCTCAAGAGAGGTCAGAAGTGTAAATATAATATAAATGGCGCTCAGAAACATAAGTGCAAGTTGCAAAGCCATAGCAGATATGAGCCTATCTGATGAATCTGTGTGTGTCTATCATGGAAGTCTTTAGCAAATTTAGCTGAATATGCATGGGTCACAATGCCAACATGATCAGCATTACAAATAATGTCGTTCCGCTGCAAGCTCTAGTCACAAGTTTGGTTTCTGCCAGCAGCTACATATCAGATGAAGGTTTTCCTAGATATAAAAACATTATGGTGTTAGTCATCCTGTCAATTTCATTGCTATTGTCAATTACTGAATGGAGAATATGTCAGTGAACAAGTCATTTCTGAAACCAAATTATAAGCCAAATAATTGTGCAATGGCACAAATGAGTACAGATTCCTCCACCTCCATTTTTCTTTAATCCTACATATTAAATTTCTTTACAAATACTCAAATATGAATCTTCTCATGGTAAAGACTGGTTTGTTTTCTCCATTCTCCATTATTGTCTCAATTCTCCACACTACCAAGTGAAACAATAAATAATGTGTGCATATTTTGACTTAGCTCTGCATGACTACAGTTAATATTCCTATTGTTGTGCAAATAAGAGATGCATATTAGTCTATGTGACTGAGTAAACCTACAAAGAGCTGGCATGCCGAAAGAGATGAACTGCCAGAAGTTTAAAAATCCAACAGGTTGCTTTCCTTTTGTCCAGACCAGTTACACAAGGAGAGCAACCTGTCAAACAGATGATTGTTCGAGTACAAACTGAGTTGACACAAATTCCCAGCAACAACAAAATATTCTTCCAGCTATGACTCTGCCCTGACTGTCTTTCACTTCACCATTCAGACATCCAGTACAACTTACTTGACTTCCATTATTTCCCTCTACACTTTCTCCAACACAAACCCAAACCTAACGTTAGCTCACCCTACAACATAGGGACCTCAAACACATTTCTCTCTCATGAGTAATGCAAGTACAGACAGAAACAAATACTGTTGCAATAGTTCTCTTCTATCAATGTTAAGTTACTGAATTTTCTCAAATTATGAGCTGGTTAGTAACATATATGTAGAGGGCAGGGTAGCAGAATCCCCATTCTATTAAGCAAATGTGGTTCAATATCCAGTCTCAAACTATATGATGAAATTAGCTCTCAAAAGTAGTGGCCCAGGAAAGGAAAACAAAGAGAAGAACCCTTCAGAGTCAACAGGCATCTCAGTGTGGTAGAGGTTGATGTTTACCAGTCAGGAGGTTAGTGGCATGTTACCAAGCCTGAGCATTTGTGAATGTAAGACAAACAAATCTTGGAATGGAAAAAAGTGTTTGTATGAATGTGTGTGTGCCTGGATGAATACGGCTTGTAGTAGGAAATGCTCAGTTAGACTAGAAAAGCATCATATGAGTACTCATCCACTTGGGGATTCAATCCTTGGCTTGGCCAAGATACTAACCCCAAGTTGTTCACTGATGCATCCGTGGGAGTATGAACATGTGTAAATGTTTATAGAAAAAGTGCTTGTGTGATGAGCCATGTGGTATAAAGTGCTCCAGAAGAGTAGAAAAGCACTAGTAGCAGAACTCATGACCAAGTTCATCTGTGAGTTTTATCAGTGTACAAGATTCAATTATCCAATCAGTTGGAAAATTACATTAAATAGTTTTGTTTGTTTCAAATACATTCTGAATTGGACCGTTTCATTTTCCACTCTAGTTGAGCACTCAAAGTCCTTTATCCAACATGCCTCATTCACACATGCACGTGTTTTCTACCTAGCATTATTTTTCTTTCTCAGCAAAATCTTACTGTTTATTTCTAACCCAGCATCTACAGCTACAAAGACAAACATTAAGAAAAGCACAAAGGAAATCATTATTTAACCTGCAAAAGAAACTCCCATCGGGTTTCTCCTCAGGCTTCACCAAAATAATGTTGAGTTAAAACAACCAAATGACAAGTATCACTTTCTCATTATCACTTTTTCCTCACATTCTAGTAGGACCAAGTTGTCACTGTAAGTTGTTTGAAATATATGCTCATATCTGGGTAAGAAAGGCCATTGTAAGTTTAAGTTACCACGAGATAGCTTGGAATAAATGCAAAAA